AAGAAAGTATTCAAATTACTTCTTGCCCAACACTGTGATAAAGATATCCATCGGTTGAGCATGAGGGGGCACATATTTGGTAGTGATATTGCCTGTGAGAATTTCATTTCGTATAAAATAACAATTAACTTTGATATGTTTTATGCGTTGATGAAAAATTGGATTAACAACAATGTGAAAGGGTGTTTAACTATCAAAGTAGAGTTTTATGGTATGTGAATGATCAACTCCAAGAGACATGTAACTATGGATCAATACTTAACATCAGCTGAAGAGTAAAGACAATTTGTTGTTTCTTGGTTTTCAAAAGATAGGTAAATTACTAAGAAGCACAAACCAACCTCTAAGCAAACGTCTAGTTAAAGGGCCTAGTTAGAGTCACACCATGTGTAGAGTTGGAGATCACAATCAACACAGAGCATTTAAATTACCTTTCAAATATTGGACAACACAAAGAGTTGCTAACCAGTGTTCTTAACATGGATGTTGCATGAATTGTGCAAGCATGTGCACACAATAGGAAAGCTCTAGTCTTGTAACAGATTAATAAATCAAGCGTGCCATTAGTTAATAATAGTGTTATGAGTCTAAAAAAGGTGGTCCATCAGTTAATGGAAGGTGATGATTTTGATTTAAAGGGAAAACAATAGGTTTAACTCATAATATACCAACCTCAGAAATGATGTCAAGAGCATATTTTCTTTGACAAAGAAAAATACCCGTGGAGTTGTGAGCTACTTCAATGCCAAAAAATATTTAAAAAATTCAAGATTCTTCATATGGAAGCATGTGCTTAAGTATTGGTTGAAGGTATGGATGACAACACTATCATTTCCTAAAATAATCATCTCATCAACATAGACTAGGACATTAAATAGTAGTGTACCTTTGTGTAGAGTAAACAAGGAATAATTTGAATGTGATTGCTTGAACCCATATTGTTTCAAGCACTAGCCAATTTAGCAAACCAACATCCAAGGGTTTGTTTCAAACCGTATAAGGACTTTTCAAGATGAAACACTTGTTTGAAAAGCTAGGGGGGGGTAACTTTATGTACACTTGTTCATCAAGATCACCATGCAAGACAGCATTGTGAACATTCATTCCTAGCTTTTGGTAGCAGCAACAACAAGAAAGGTACAAATAGTGATCATTTTTGCTATAGAAGCGTGTTTCATTCTAGTCGAACCATCAACTTGATGATTTCCTAAGATCATGATACTGGCTTTGAATCTCTCAATAGATTCATTTGAATTTTATTTAATTCAATAAACTCATTTGCACCATATAACTTCCTTACCTGCGGGAAGAGATTCCATAGTCCAAGTGCCATTATTTTCTAAGGCTTGTATCTCATGTTTCATGGCTTGTCTCCGTCATTCATCTTTCATGGCCTCAACAAATTTTGAGGTTCAGCTCCTACATGCTGCCAAGAAATGTCTATATTTTGCAGAAAAGTTATTACAGTTCATATGATGAGCTATAGGGCAAGGTGTACCCAAGAATAGTGATGAGCAAGATGAACTCTTCGAGGGGCTTAATTTGCATATAGTGTTTGTTACAAAATCTTTTAGACAAGTGGAAGGTATCTTGGTGCGTTGGCCCTGACCCAAAGATTCCTTATTTACAACAGCACATGGCTACTGTCATGTACTATTTCTATGTCAGAAGGAAGGACAAGTGAGGCTCAAGTGTTGATTCATTACCTTCCAAATTATCATTTGTACCCCGTGCCATACTAGTCTCATTCCAACATGAGTAACATGATTTTCATGCATGTTACTATATTGAGCATTGTTTTGTTCCTCATTGTCATCTATACCATCCCAATTTGTCATAAAACCTATTGTTCGATTAGTGTGCACATAAAATGAACTTTGCTAATCATTAGTTAGGTAAGAAAAATTTTCCTTATAGAACACAACATCTCTTGAAATTAAGGATACTCGAGATTGAAGGGTATAAAGTCAACACCCTTTCTTGCCATAAGGATATCCCTGTAAAACACATTTGCATTTGCGACTTGCAAATTTATCTCCTTTATGTACTTAGTTATGCACGTGGCATAAACATCCGAATACATGCAGATGTCTAAGTTGAGGCATCATACCATATAATATTTCATATGGTGTCTTCCCATGTAAAATAAGTCATAGAATCCAATTTATCAAATATCCAATAGTCAAAATGCATTCCTCCTAAAATTTGATAAGATTTGCTTGGAACTGCAAAGCACATGCCATATTGAGTATAAGTCTATGTTTGCATTCCATAAGTCCATTTTGTTGTGGCGTTCTTACACAAGATGTTTCATGCATAATACCATGCTTATGAAAATAATTTCTAAGCCAGATGAATTAAATACTATTGTCACTTCACATTATTTTCACTTGTTTATTAAATTAACATTCCACCATAGCTATAAAATTGCATAAATTCATTGTGACTTATTTCTTATCAATCAATAAGTATATTCATGTTGTTCTTGAATAATCATTAAGAATAGTTAAAAAATATCTTACACCACAAAATGTAGTTGTTCAATAGGGGTCCCTCACAATGAATTAAATGAAAAATTATCCAAAGTTTTATCATCACTAGCAGGAAATTTATCCTGTGTTTGCTTTGCTCTAAGACAAACATCACAAACTCGATTACATAAGCTACTATTTTTACTAACATTAACTGATGAGTCATTGACTCATATAGAAAATTAAAAGGCTTATGATTCATTTCATTGAATTAAATCTATAAGTGGGTGCAATTAATTGGAATATTCAATGGAATGTGTGATTGCTAGAAATTTGATGAATTATTCAAATATTGATGGTTGACATTTGATTTTTGAAGGGATTAAGAAGCTAAATTCATTTTAGAACCAATTAACTAAGGAATTAGGATTGAATATTTTAGAAAACCTAATCACTAGATTGAGCTAAATAAATTTGTCCATGCTCCCGTATTCACTCATAATGAATATTAAATTCACTCATAAGTACATTATATTATCTTAAATACGGAAATCAGGTTAATTACCCATATAAACAACAAATTTATGCAAGCTAGGAGCCTTAAATCTTTGCAAGAAATTTGCAACAGCATGCCTGATACAATATATGTGGAATACTCTTCGAGATTCCCACTAGCCATTGCTTCTTCTTATTGCTACTATAAGTGACTCGTGATAATCAGAAATCAAGCCAATACCATCTTTGGTAACAACATATTTTCGTAAATTTTCAAGGAAAAAATTCCACACATTTGTTGTCTCACCCTCAACAACAGCAAATACAAACGTCAGTATATTCTGATTTTCATCTTGTGCAACAGCTACTAGTAGAACTATCTTGTATTTGTCATATAAATGAGTCCCATCAACTTGCACAAGTGGCTTGCAATGTCAAAATGCTCTAATGCAAGAACCAAAACTCCAAAACACGCATCGTAGTATTTGAACATTGGAAACCATTTTATCATTGCGATAAGCCTTTGCAACATCTAATTTCACAACAGATCCTCAAACAACATCACACATTACTATGCACTATTGCGGCAAAGCATCTAATGAGGCTTCCCATTGACCAAATAATTTTATGATTGCCTTTTATTTTGTCAACCACGTTTTTCAATAACTTATCGTGTACTTAAATCAAGATTGAATTTCCTTAATTACTACTTTGATTTTAAAAGAAAGATCAGATTCTACTATTGGTCTTATACATTCTGCAATTGTGTTTATATCCAACTTTCTATGATCTTGAAAATGATTCCAATAGTACAAGTGTGTATACCATTATATTTTTGAATTTCTCAAAAATACTTGTTTTTCCTAAAACTAGCTCAAAAAAGCCACTTGCAACCTAAGTCATATCTTACACATTTGCAATAAAAGTATTTGGTTCAGACTCTAACACTTTGTAGTCCACTATTTTGATATACTGTAATGCTTTACTGTTTTTATAATAACTTCTTTGTCACTAAATTACCTTCCAACATACAATTCACCATCTATCTTTGTGTTACCTACCAATAGTGAACATAAAACTAAAATCAATCTCATTGATATAATTACAAATTTCACATACCTAAGTTTGCATACTCTAGGAACTAGAAACATTCATAGCATTAAGATCTAATTCACGCATGAAGGGTAGCTCCCCAAAAGGATATTGACTACCCATATGGGGCTCCTCTTCATCAGCATCATCATCATGATCCTCATCACTTTGATATTCTCCTTCAAAGTCGTAGTCATTACTTTCACTGCTATTATGTTACCAATCTATCTCTGTCTCATGGCAAATTCTTCTTGAACCTCATTACTTTTGAAAATAACATATAATTCAATCGTACCACTTATGATGATGCTACTAATGTATTTGAAACATTTGTTGAACATCATCATCATTGGTTAATGGAATTGAATGATATTGCATAAAACTACCAAATATCGACACTAGACATCGATACATAATATTTTTTACTATTTTTAGAAACGGAATTTCATGAATGTATTGAGAAAGCTAACACTTTAAATCTTCAAATGATACATTATATGAAATATACACACATGTTGACTTCTCGCATGCAAATGTCACATCTTCACTTGTATTTGGTATAATTTCACCATTAAAATAAATTACAATAGACATACTCATTTTTTTTCTTTTCATAAACACATAAGATTTACATACACTCTCTAAGAAGTGGTTCAAATGGTTATAGTTGCGAGTTGTTATAAACAAAAATTTTATTAAAAATTGCCAATGACGTTTTATAATCTTTTTAAAAATTTACGTTGTTCAAAGGCCGTCATTGACAAATTTTAAAAAGTTATAAAATTTTTTTAGAATAAAAGATCACTAATAATAATTTTTATCAGTCATATTTATTTTTTTTCTTCTAAACTAGTCAATAGCGATTTTACTTTATAAAATTTATTTATTTTTGCTATAAAATTGCCAATGTCAAATTTATTTTATAATTTTTTTGTGCCTTAAAATTGCCATTGATATTTTTTAAATATATCATATTCAAATAATTTTATAAAAAATTGTCATATTTTAATAATTTTATTAAAAAAATCCATAATAAAAAAATGACCTAAGTGTTAAGTACAGGTGCGATATGATATTTTTTAGAAAAAGTATCACCTCTTGTAGATTGATATTTATTGCGCGGTGCAGTACTTAAAAAAATGAAGAATTAATTTATAAGAGACATACTTATTTAAAAAATATTGAAAAAAATTATATCACAGCTGTAGGTGCCATGCTTAGGACCTTGCGCGTTAAAAAAGCAAAGTCTAAAGAGAGAATTAGTTGAATCTACTATTACTCTAAGAATTAGTTTTTCTTTTTTAGTAAATAAAAAAACCGCATCTTCTGACATTTTCATCGCCCACAGTAAGAAAACCATGGCACCAGAGGTGTGATTTTTCTTTTAGGGGATCCATCTAATTTATTTCGGTTAAATTATTTTTTTCTGATTAATTTTTCTACTAAAGCACTACTAATTTTTTAGAGTGGAGCAAACAAGAGCATTTTCGTTCTCCGCAGAAAAATCTAGAATGTTTCAGAATTTTCAGAGATAATATAATAAGTAATTACTAAATAGAATTTTCTGGAAAATACGAGATTATTCTTCCACTTCATTTAAATATCTCGGTCGTGTCTTCGCAGTGTCAAAAAATAAAATAAAATCTTGAATTGCAGAGATCCTAAGCTACGAGAAGATGTCACTGATTCCAAATTTCTTCGGCTGCCGACGGAACAACGATTTCGATCCTTTCTCCGTCGATGTCTTGGAGCCCTTGGAAATTTTTCCTTTCCCCAATCGTCTCTTTTCTTCCGGATTTTCTCGTGAAAATTCAGCGTTTTTGAGCACCCGAGTGGATTGGAAGGAGACTTCAGAAGCACACGTGTTCAAGGCTGATATGCCAGGACTGAAGAAGGAGGAAGTGAAGGTTGAGATTGAAGATGATAGGGTTCTTCAGATAAGGGGAGAGAGGAACGTTGAGAAAGAAGATAAGAATGATACGTGGCATCGGGTGGAGCGTAGCAGTGGCAGTTTCCTTAGAAGGTTCAGATTGCCAGAGAATGCAAAGGTCGATCAAGTGAAAGCTGCTATGGAAAATGGGGTCCTCACTGTTACTGTTCCCAAGGAACAGGTCAAGAAGCCTGATGTTAAGACCATACAAATCTCCGGTTAATTTTAAACTAATTGTTTGGTTTTAAATGGTGTGTTTTTCTTTCTTGTAATGTGAGTGATATCTCGTGGTGGGAGTTGCTATTGTATAAACAAGTAGTCAAAATAGTTGTTGATCTTGGGATGTTCATGTTAATAAGTTGTGTTGCAAGTGGGTGTTACTCTAATGTAGATGATAAGGTTTCGATATGGGTGTACTAGTCTTTTGTTACTTCTGCCTTTTCTCCCGTTTTAAAGATTTTGCAATTTTATGCTCGCAAAGACAACAAATATTAGAAAAGAATATGGAATATTATGAGAATTCAAAATTTTAAACGCTAATAATTCCTTCGAAGGTTAGTCACAGATTTTGCAGTGACCCCCAGCAAATTTCAATAAATATACTGTCAATTTGTCTAAGACGGATCTTAAAACTTGAAATCAACCAAAACTTCCCTGTAAGGGTTCAGGTGTTCCTTTCTCAGCATTAGGGAATTATGACATAAATTCATAACAAAGTGAGGGTTTATCCCGTTAATTATAATGGGTGTGAAACAGCATTATGTGCACAAGTAACAGGAGGAAAACGAATATTATCCGCAATATGAGAGCTACTTACACACCCAGCTTATGATATCGTGTGAATATTGTAATATATTTCGTCAAATCAATCAAACAATTTATCTAGCTTAAAGAGTGACTCTGCGTATGTTAGCTAGATTATATCTACCGTTAGAGTCTGAAAATATCGTGTCCCAATGAACTTCTAATGGAAGGAACTTTGCTCTCAATTCTTTAAAACGGCTGCCTTGCCAGCAGGAGAAGCTACTTGCATCACTCCCTGCTCGGCACGGTCACCCAAGGATAACATGGAACTTAAGTTTCATATCATAAATAAAAAGGTTGGCTGAATAACATGAAATTTTCATGCCTGTCCCATCAACATAAAAATAAAACATCAAACTAGGGATATTACATTTGTTAGTTTCAGAGTTTGGGCTGATCATATGATGGTCCTGGCATTGATTGACTATAGAGGTTAAGATAAAATTTAGAATACCAAATTCAATGTCTCCCGATCCAGAATAATATGGAAAACCGGAACTTCCTCAAGCTTATTTTTTTATCCAATTTCAACCACAAGTAATGAACGAAAATGAAGGTTCAATATCCTTTAATTGCTAAACATGTAGAGATTAAGAAGATAAAACCGAAGATAACTAGAAATTTTAAAGCACTAAATTCATTCAACATGATAGCAAACTGTCCATATTCATGATTGAAATTTGAACTAGGAACAGAATTATAAAAGCGACCATAGCCAAGCATGATTTTTCGAGGGCCATTACAGACTCAAGATCAACACAAGAGGAAAATAAAATACCATAGATCTGCTGGACTTTCACATACCAGATCCAACAAGAGACCCCTACAGAATATCCCCAAACTTAAAAGCCACCACGGAGACGCAACACAAGGTGAAGAGTAGACTCCTTCTGAATGTTGTAGTCAGCAAGAGTCCTTCCATCTTCCAATTGCTTCCCAGCAAAGATTAACCTCTGCTGGTCTGGTGGGATTCCCTCCTTGTCCTGGATTTTTGCCTTAACATTATCAATAGTGTCTGAACTTTCAACCTCCAAGGTAATGGTCTTTCCTGTCAAAGTCTTCACAAAGATCTGCATACCTCCCCTCAAACGAAGGACGAGGTGAAGGGTGGACTCCTTCTGAATGTTGTAGTCTGCAAGTGTTCGTCCATCTTCAAGCTGTTTCCCAGCAAAAATCAATCTTTGCTGGTCAGGGGGAATACCCTCCTTGTCTTGGATCTTAGCCTTTACATTATCAATTGTGTCTGAGCTCTCTACCTCCAATGTAATTGTCTTTCCAGTAAGGGTCTTCACAAAAATCTGCATACCACCACGGAGTCGCAAGACAAGGTGGAGAGTTGACTCTTTCTGGATGTTGTAATCAGCCAATGTTCGTCCATCTTCAAGCTGTTTCCCAGCAAAAATCAATCTTTGCTGGTCAGGGGGAATACCCTCCTTGTCTTGGATCTTAGCCTTTACATTATCAATTGTGTCTGAGCTCTCTACCTCCAATGTAATTGTCTTTCCAGTAAGGGTCTTCACAAAAATCTGCATACCACCACGGAGTCGCAAGACAAGGTGGAGAGTTGACTCTTTCTGGATGTTGTAATCAGCCAATGTTCGACCATCTTCAAGCTGTTTTCCAGCAAAGATGAGCCTCTGTTGGTCTGGTGGGATACCCTCCTTGTCTTGAATCTTGGCCTTGACATTGTCTATAGTGTCAGAGCTCTCCACCTCAAGGGTGATGGTCTTTCCAGTTAGGGTCTTAACAAAGATTTGCATACCACCACGAAGACGAAGCACCAAGTGGAGAGTGGACTCCTTTTGAATGTTGTAATCAGCAAGGGTGCGTCCATCCTCAAGTTGCTTGCCAGCAAAAATCAGACGTTGCTGGTCTGGTGGGATGCCCTCTTTGTCCTGAATCTTAGCCTTGACATTGTCAATGGTGTCAGAACTCTCCACTTCAAGGGTGATAGTCTTACCAGTGAGGGTCTTAACAAAAATTTGCATCTGCATTATACCATACACACACAAATATATTAATCAATCACCAATTCTTCATCATGAACTTTACAATGAGGAAAAACAGTGTATAGAAAGAGTACACAAAACAAATGACTAAAAGCACAAGAATAGCCAATTTTATATAAATTTTTTCACAGCAAAAAAATTAAAAAAACTTAATATCAAAATCAAACAATCAATAATATGGGGGAACAAATCGTAGATGCAAAAGTTACATATATATTTGCATACAAAATAGACAGAGTTGAAGCACAGACGAGGGAAAAAAATAGAGAAAATCGAGGCCTTGATAAGTCGGGTGCAATCAACAAATCAATCATGTCGATATCCAGAACAGACGAGAAAAACACCCCACGCTCATCTAAATTACAAGACTTGTTACAATTATACAATGCATAGCCCAGATCTGGCAAATATATAAACATTTAAAACAGATCTCAAGATCACTTTCAATCAACAAATAGTTTGAAACAAGCATGCTAGTTCTTCAAGAAAAGGGTTCAAAAACATCTCGGCTTGCGTTATAATTGAGACGATAAAACCATATACGAAGACCATATTCAAAAGAAATTTTAAGACTTGAGAAGAACAAGATAAAAATTAAAGGGCAGACAAATAAGATGATCGGTTATAAAAGAAGAAAAACCCGATGAATCTAGGTCTTAATCGGAGCAGAAGATACCTTGAAAGGGTGCGCTGGTTATCTTTCTCTGCTGCGAAACGAGGTGCTTGTTAGGTTGGTGTTTGGGAATATCGCTTTGTGGGGCTTTGCTTTTATAGCAAAACGATGAGTTGCTTCGTCACGACAACCACAGTTTTGCCATATACGTCGCGACACGTGGACGAATTAGAAGCCGTCGACTTTGTTGAAACGGCAATTGATTTGGTTTATGAGTTGCTGTCGGCAATTGACATGTTCAACGTTCCAACTACTTTTGGAATCTGTTGGCCAAGCCTGTAAAACAAAATAATATATTTCTTTTTGGTAAAAAAATAAAATAATTTTTTGACTTTGAGTTTTTTTCTTAAATGAATGATATTTGAAGATTTGTTTTAATAAAATACATACTTTTATTTCAAATGTTTTATAATTTATACCGTTTATTTTTAAAGTAAGAGCTACGTTGTGTATAACATTTTTAAATAAAAAAAGGTAAACGAGACTAGTTAAATTGAACATAATTTAGGATAAATTTATTTAAAATTTTACTTAAAATTTATTAATTTATTTAAATAATACAAATTAAAAGCTTGAATTTAATCTGATAAGAGGATGATAAAATAAATTTTTGTATTTACAAATACGAGTTAAACTTAAAGTGAAAATTTTTATGATAAAATGGTGGATTTCTAAAAAAAAATTTAGATTATTTATTTAAAATGTAACCTTTAAAAATTAAAATTTAATAAATAATGAATGAAATTGATAATAAACAAAATTATAATTTTTAACTGAATATTCACCCTTATATGATAAAAATGTGTTTTCTAAAATAAAAATATTTTAAGAGTTATTTTTGTTAAGTTACGAAACTTTTATAACACTGAGTATTTTATTTTATTTTTTATTTCAAATATTATTTCTTAAGTTTAAATTTAATTTAAGTTTTATAACATAACACATTATGTCAAATTAAAGATATAATACTTTCTAGATAGATTAAAATTTAAAACTATTAAAATTCTAATTCATCTAAATTTGAATTTAATTTTTAAAATTCTTGTTCTGGCATATTGCTCAATAAATATTAACTGTGTAGATTTTGATGATTTATTTCAATAATGTTTTACTCAATTGTAAAAGTATTGTGTCTATAATTTAGTTTTTTTGAATACATACAATCAATTAAGAAACACATACTATTCTAATTTTTGTTTCTAAATTTATTTTCTAAATATATTCTTAATTCTTATATTTTTGCAATTTTTTAATATTAAGTCTTTTTCAATTTTTATTTTATTTTTATATTTTTGTATATATTTTTTTTAGTCGCCCTCATTGACACAAGTCTTTTTTAGTTAGCCATGTTATGAGTTAAGACTCACCACGTCCAAAATACCAAATTTTTAAAATATGGCTTAAAATAAAAAAGTACAAATATATAATCAAAACACATATTTAAGTCAATTTTATTTAAGTTTAACATATTAACGTAACATATAAAAAACTTAATAATAATAATAATAAATTATATTCATTTAATTGATACAAACTCTTATAAGAATTTGACTCGTTTAAATGAAACTTAATTTTAAATTTAAATTATTATATATATTTTTTTATAAACAGGGTTTATAGGCCAAAAGACACAACAACCCCTAGACTATATGTTTAGGTAAGGAAGAATTAAGAAAATCTAATCTTAACAAGGTTCTAAAGAGGAGGGAGGTATATTAAAACCACAAAAAAATTTCTCTATCTTAGATCTACACTTAGCTAACTAATCCGTATATTAGTTGGCTTCACGTAAAATATAATTAAATTTAATAAACTTAATTTCTCTAAGTAATAATTTAATTTGATTGATTATAGAATACAAACAAATTTACATAAACATTTAATAAATTAAACTTAACAAATTATACTTATTTAATTCAACTCATTAACACTTCAAACCTAATCAACTTAATTCATATCAGCCAAATGTCCAACGTTATATTTAAATATTTGTGATTTTCGACAAAAACAGTAATGTCTAAACTTAATCCATGAGTTTATATTTAATTTTGACATATCATATTAAAATAATAAATATAAAGATATTGTGTTTTGATTTGATAATTTATTTTATTATTTTCTCCCTAATTGTAAAAATATTGTCTTTTTAATTAATTTTTATTTAATCAAATAAATTCTTTATTCTTAACAAAAAAAAATAGTTTTAATATATTTTTATTGTTTACTAATGAATATATTTTTATCTTTTATATATATATATATATATATATATATATATTAAAATAACCATATAGCATACGAAAATAATTTTTTTATTTTTACCTTCATTTATTTAAATTTCAAGGAATTATTACTTTTTAAACTAAAAGAGAAAAAAATGATATTATTAATCGAATTCAGATTAAATTGGATGAGAAATAAAAATAATAATATTACTTAAAGAGACAAAAATTATGTAGCAATCTTTATGTCAAAAAAAAAAAATTCACATAGAGAAATTCTTAATAGATATGTATAAAAGGATATATTCTTTGTTTTGTCTGTGCTAATGAGTTGTTTAGTTTGTAATCTGTGTACTAATAAATTATTCTTTCAATAGATGCCTAAGAAATTGTTTTTGGTCAACGAAAACAGAAAAAAACTACATCTCGTCTTTTCAAAACGAATTAGCGTGGGATGATCGGAGGTTATTCAAAGATTATTGTATAGATTAGTCTTCTAGTTCTTGTAATTTACTCAACTTCTTGTTCAGTAATTCTTTTTATTAAGTACAAATTTGTGATCAAAATAGATTTTTAATCATTATTTAGTCAAGCTTAATGATATTATGTAACCAATGTTATAAGACTTAACTATTATGTATTGTATTTGTATTTTGTTCATCTTAATTTAAAAAATGCAAATCGAAGGCTTTGCAATGCCAATCAAAATGTTATATAAGTAGAACCCTCCAACTCTATTTTTAAGGTCTCTTTGAATAAATAGTTAATTAATTAATTATTTAATAAATTTTATTACATAAATGTTTATAGTATATATAATCATAAAACATATTTAAAAGTATTTTAATATACTAAAACAAACATTTATTTAATTAAATTAAAGAATTATTAAAAAATTAATTTTCAATGACATGTTATTATTGATAGTCTTGCACTGTTAAAAAGTTACATAAATGTATGTTACATTCAAGATTTTTTTTATACCCTTCCAGTCTTTTTTATAAGAAACAAAATAAAATATTTTTTTAATCTTTATTATAAGAAACAAATGATAAATTTAAGATGCATTAATTGTTAAAAAAATTTTATATTTTTATTTTATTAATATCATTAAATATACAAATTACTAATTATATCATTTAATATCATAGATATTTTTAGAATAAGATTTATATTTATGAAAAACATAACATACTTAATTATTTTTTTTAGTTTCTGTGATTTCATCTTTTGTTTCTTATAAAAAAGACTGAACGAAATATTTCTTTTGAAAAAAGTTTATTTTAGAACTCTTTTACAGTAAAAAAAAAAATTTCATGCACAAACTTCCACCCGTCTCCCTTCCAAACAAAAAATTACTTTAATAGATGTCTTACACATTTCTTTTTTATTGTATTTATCTCTGGTCAACACCAGAAAATTGTTCTTTTAAGGTAATTACCATAATAATAAGAATAATCAGCAACTTTAATATTGCAATCGTTAACGGTTTGAATGAGAAATCCGATCAATAGTGAAAAGTCATGGAAAGAATTGTCTGTGTTCTTGCTGAATTAGGTTATGACTTGGACCCTTTGTTTATGGGAGAATCAGACATTGCTGCAATTCACAATCCATAGCCACCTTCTAGAATATATTTACTCGTTATATTTTCCATGAGCGTTGGGAACTCGATAGCCAACAGGTCTAAGTTATCACGTTAACAAGCTTCGGATAAAGTGTTCGACTTTTAACGAAGCTCACAAAAATGAATGATCATTTCTCCAAAATAAATTAAACAAACACTTGATTGGAGTAGCATGTAAGCACCCATGTTTTATTGAGGATATAATGCTGATATCTATCAAATGAATGCCTCTGTTGGAGTAGTTGTAATTCCAAATTCCAAATAATATTATTCATTATTGAAGGCAGTTATGCCTAAACAAAATTAGAAAACTAAAAGCTACTAATAACCAACTGAAAATTGCCATATTGAGGCCACTTTGAGCCAGATGACACTCCCTATATCTGATTTTTCTTTTGACAAAATAAATGATACAAGATATTTACAGAAGACCAATAACTGTATTAACTAAATGCCTACACACACTCACTACAGAAGAGATTCTTCTGACAATATAGTCAACAAGGAATACTTTGCCTTGATTGAGATTCTGCCACCCTCTACACAGAGCTTAGCTCCAGTGACCACCCAATAACCAGGTGGATCCTCAGGACCCCTGACCATTTCCTTAGTGTCCACAAAACTGAGCATTTTTTGAGACCTTGTTGGCACAGGTGGACCACCATGATAAATTGCTGAGTTTATATCAACTTTAGTTGGCTTCTTAGGTGGATGCAATTCTTTGCTAAGCCTTGTACTCACCAATGCTGAGAAGAATCCTGACTTTCGAGACGTTGTTGAAGGCCCATCCCATTCTGATCTGCGAATTCTAGCAGATGCCACTGTTGAAAATCCAAGCCTTAGGAAAAGAACTTTCTTCATTCCCACCAGCTTAACCTCCAACCAGGCTTTTGTCACAATGGCTGTGGACTCATCCATTCTAGAGCTATTGTACTGTAAAGGTGCTGTGTAGACATGAGAAAACATGCTCCATTTCACAGGTTCATAGTAGCCTCGCTCATCTGGTTCATCAATAGGATCATAACTATGATCTTCTGAAATTTCTAGGACACCAGGAACCTCTGAAAGATGCTGGAGATGGATTGCTAGGTGGTCACATTTTTTGCCTTCCAAGTACAAGCGAATGCCTGTCACAGGCCGGTTTCCAGAGTCAACCTGCTTATTCAAAATACATTGCTTGAATTTATTTTTTTCAACTAAATCAATGGTTATAGAATTAGTGCTGAAACTTTGGAAGAAACAAGTTCATAAATGTAGGTAACTTATTCATGTTATGTGTTCTTCCAGCTATAATATTCTAGAGTATGCAATGTTAAATGGATATAAGTAATCAGAGCACATTACCTTCACAGTATTAACATAAAGCTTGGGTCCCATAAGAGTGAACTGAAGTGATGGAGACAAGTTCTTTTTATACTTTTGGCCAAATCCAAGAGGCAGATCACCATACATTGGGGCCCATTGTCGAGGCAGCTGAAATTCTAGAAATTGATGGAGTTCTTCTATTGCTGGTTTATCTGTTTGAAACAGAAAATTTTTAAACACATGTACCAGTAATGGTGCATTATAGAATTCCATAAATATTAAATATTCATATAATATTTATTATTTTCTGTGTACAGAACATACGGACATGCATGGATTAGTATCTAGTGAATATACAAGAGAGGTGAGAGGAATTAACTTTGACTATTCATTTGTGGTTGTATGGTATACATTAGTTCTTTACATGAGAGCAAGCTCTCACCTGACATGCTCCTTGTGTGTAGGATCATATGTGTGTTTACACCAATCCCAGAATAAACATGCCATAAAATTACTATAATTGGACAGATGATACATGCTATACGGGAACCACATGTACCAAAATGCATTAAATTTCATGTAGAATAGAATAGAATAGATAGATTGATCACAAAATTTAGAAATTAATTCTCTAGACATAACATTTCATATCAAATTCATGATCAATATAAAAGGTGAAGACAAAGTTTGTATAAATTGTAGAGAGAATTTTTTTTTAGTGTTGTTTTTCTTTTAAAAAGTTTTCAAGGGAATGTAAATTGATTTTAAATGATAGCATATACAAATATTGATTTTAACAAAACTTTGCTCAAAAGAGGTGAGTGTCAACCAAAATTCCAACAAAATATAGAATTCCAAAAGAAAAAAAAAAATTTAAGATGATAATGGGCTGGAAAGAAACCAAAGTTGTAGGTGTCACTCACATCTAAGATACAAATTCACTGCATGGCTTAAAAATCCATTGCCTGGAACAGAGTTCAATAGGGAAGTAATAGGCACAAAAGACATTGATATGACATTAGGAGACTGTGATATGGTTGAAAGCCACTGGTTATGAGATTGACCAACATCAATACCCCCTCTTCGTACAGAAATGCTAACAATATCCTGCAAAGAAATTTATATAATGAAGTCCAATTTTGTCAGATGCTGCGTGTCTATGAGGTGCTACAGCTGAAATAATGAGAATTGCAACTTTCTTGTAACAAAATAATGATACTAACATCATTCTTGGAGTGACTTCTTACAACAGGCCTACCAGCAGCAGGATTAGGTCTGTGATTGCGCAGCCCCCACACCAGAGCTTGATTATCCTGTTAACATGATTACAGATATATTTAGACAACTCGAACTTCTTAGATGTATTTATTTTGCATTGTAAATCAGCTTTCTTTCTTCTTAACAATCTGTTTTGGATATAAATGTTTTGTTAATTCATTTAGATATATAAAACCATTATTGGCCTCCATCTTATAACTTAAAACTGTTTAGAGAGTTACGTACTCATAGTGTTACTGTTTGGTTGGAGGGAAATCGAGGGGAGGAGAGGGGGAGCACTTTTTAAAATTTTCATGCTTGGAACAAAATTTTGAGAGGAGGGGAGGGACTTAAATCCCTAAAATTGAATTAGGAGGAATTTGGAGGGGAGAGAAATTTAGCCTAATTGGACAATTATCTTTAATTTAATAGTCTATAACAGTTCGTTTTAAAAGACTTTTGTAAAAACCAAAGAAGCTAAAAACTTAGGTCTGCACTGTAAGCAGCCGTTGGTTGCACCTGGTTGAAGCAGAATGCTACCATCTTTGAGGGTATTTTTATTCCATAAATTTGTTATGGAATATAAAATTTTCTTTTTCTCTTTGGCATTCTTTCTGCCTATGCTTCTAGGGACATGCTAGTTCAGATATGAAGAGAGCCTAGGGCGCGGTGTTGCAATCTTGAGTTTCTTCTTCTTTTTCTTTTCTTATGCTCCCTGTCATTGTTTCTACATTTTGGAGAATATCTCATCCTCTCTTGTAGTTTCCTGTTTTCTCTCAAACAAATTTTCTTTATCAATCAAATTAAAAAACTCGGTAAAACCATAACTTGTACTTCCTTGAGCCTTTCAATTTAAAAGCAAGCATGGTGTCCTTTAACAGAAAATATACTGCTTAATCTTTACCTTTAATTTTCTTGATTTTTCAGCAGGATTGACATTGGAACTTTGATTTGAATCCTCAGAAAACCTCTCATCAGCTAATTGCTTCAGCAATTTCTGCAGTTCAGTCGGTTGAAGATCTGAATTTTTTGACTGTTTGATATGAACCACATCCTTACCTCCCATCTGCACACCAACTACTGTATGGGTACCATATTTTTCAATGAACCTGAAGAACCACATTTTGTTTAGAGAACTACTCAAATCCAAGAAACATAAAGATGAGTTTTATTTTATCAAAGAAAGAATTAAATAAGGCTGTTTAAACAGGAAAAAAAATGCTCTACGAGCTTTGAGTAGAATGTTAAACTGTACACGTAGTAGTATATCCAATATATAAATACAATGGGAGAATCAAGTGAAAATTTAGAACATTTTCTAGGATAAAGTTTCTTTAAGGATAAATGTTGTTTATAACTTAGGAGTCTCTTCCAGACCAGCATAGGAATCTACACAAGGACCCAAAACACATGCATCCATTTAAATACATCACGGTCTAACACACAAAAATCCTATTCCTATGTTCAATAACTCATTAACATAAACTGCTTAAATCATCTCTGTAAAGTCAAAATTTGGGTATAGCATTGAAGTCTTAGTTGGTATATTGACATAACCAAGTCAATTGTTCCTCTAGAAAACTGTCCATTACAATGTAACTTATGATCGATATTATCCACTGGTGAAATTGATGAAAAATGTGATCAAGTTTAACCTCCTTAATGATCTGTATAGACTTCTCATATTCAGAACTCTTCTAACTTATCGTAAAAAACCTGTAGTGAATATATCAGGTTTGGGGGAAAATCTAGCATACTCTTTAGAACCATATCAATGCTATTATGGTTTTAGTTATTATGGAGCGTTTGGTAACAAACTGATACTATGTGTATGCAACTTTTCATTATTGTTCAGAGGTAAGAAAATAAATTGCATGTTCATAACCAAAAAAGATCGAAGGACTGTAATATTTAATACTATTACCAACAAGAAATCGAAGAATAACACTAAAGATAATACTTACTCAGCAAGAGCTGCAGGGTTCCATGAAGAGGGCACTTCATTTTTCACATTTTCAGAAAGGGTTAAGTTGGTTTTATCTAATTGGACGTTATATAATGTTATGAAACATCCATCATAGGCAAGGTTTTTAGTGGAAGCTGCATCTATGGGCCAACATTTTCTCATCTCAAACATGTTATTGAATAGGCCAGATGGAATCTTTCCTGACAAGGATAGCTGTTGGTTGAAGTGCTCAGACATCTGCAAAGGTCCAAATTTAGTGAATTTCAAACTTTCTTATTTTACAGTATCCAACCATATGAACCCAAATGAAAGGAAAAATAAAAATAAAAAGAAACAAGAGAAGAGAACTGGGAAAAATTCAAGAGTCAAGTATTTTATGGGAGGAATGTTTCAGCTTCCAGACGCACAGTTGACTGTGGCAAACCAAAATAAAGTTTGCTCCTAAAATTACACTAAATTTGAAGTGAAAAAAATATGGCTTTCCAAATAGGTTAAGAATTCCATACAAAATTTTCTTACAAACTTCATTTTGACATAAAAGTTTCCAAATATTAAATACTAATCACTTCTCTAGTTCTCTTCAAACTCTTCTTTTTTTAATCTAGAACGTCGGAAATCCAAGTTCACAAATCACACAAACACATCACTAACAAATATTTCGTTCTCAAAAGTCAAAACAACACCGATAAACTCGGCAGGTACACCCTTAGAAAGATATTCCAGTAAGTTAGTAACCGTAATTTAAATGTCCGCAAACATTCACTCAAACCTGTACGAGGCAAGAATTGAAAACAACAATTATCAATCGGCATCCCGTAATCAAAATTCAATTCTGAAAACCCCATAATTAAAACACACACACACACACAAAAAGATCATCATCATCATAAGAAAACAGAAAGTCAACCCAGAGACATAAGAACAGTATAACTACCAACCACAGCACAAAACTTAGATACAATAGCGTTGTTCTCCAATGAAAATCGACATTGAATTTTGGTTCACATAAAAAAGAAACGCTACGTTGAGTTTGGTGGACGGACCTGATTAAAAGGGACGACATCAGAGCGAAACCTGATGAGTTCACCTTTGTCACACTTGATAGAGTTAGGAACATTATGGAGAACAACCCCAGAAGGAAAAAGAAGGTCTTTGGTATGAGTGTGGTCTATATGAACCAAGGTGGACTTGCATGCAGAGAATCTTATATCGCTGCAAAGATCATAGCCATGACCAATTACACTCACAGCTTTCTCCGCTGCCGATTTGGCATCCAACCCTGCAATGCTATTCATATTGATACCCATTCCCCAGGAAGCGTAGGAGTGATGCGAGAGTCTCTTACCCTTTCAGGAGTTTCTTTACATAATAATAAGAAGAAGTGATGATAGTGCAATTAGTGATGGTTGACTGGGCTGTTTCTGTTGTTGCACTGTGAAACGTTTCAAAGGGTTTTCTTCTACGCGGGTCATATTTTTTTTTTTTGGTGGGGTGGTACTGAGAGGGTTAAAGGGACAACGTTGTATTCAAAGATTGGACCTTAGAAGATGGAGACAATGTAGTGGGAACGAGGAAGAACAGAAAGCACAAAAAAGGCGGCTGGGCGTGTCCACATCCTCCACGTGGCACCGTATATAACAATGAGACTCAACTTGCTTATTTTAAAGGGAAGAACTAGTCCTACCTTATGCGTTTACTTAGACCAATTTTTTAAGGCCCAGGGTCCGTGCCTTAATCAAAATGTTAACTTAAGGCTCAAGTTAAATAATTGAAAATCAAAACATTTACTAAATTATAAATATTATATTTTTAATAAAATGTATTAATTTTAGAGAATTCAAATCAAACCTATAAATTATAGTTAATAAATTTAAATAAAAACACACTAATTGTTTTTCCCCTTAAATTTGGGATTCTTGTTGATTTTAACATTTTGTAATTGTTGTTATTGTTGTAAAACTTTGTCTGGATTGTTGTGAAATATAGATTGGCAAGACTTTCATTTCTGTGCTTTTCGGTCAATCAAAATATATTATAGATATAATTTTTATATTAATAATTATATAAATCAATATTTTTGCTAAAATGTAATTAGGAGACAGTGTAAAATATATTTAAATTAAATTTATATATATATATATATATATATAATTTAACCTAAATTTGACATAAATTATTGAAAAGATGGAATTTAAACTTTAGTTTTTTAATCAAAACGATTTTTGGGGCTTGCAGACGTCATAGTCAAACCAAGTACCAGTAAACCACCCGTTTATTCGTTTTTTATTGGAACTTGGATTCTTTTACAACTATATTTGTTAAAAGGAGTGAGAACATAAAATTTTTCCTCTTCTTCATTTTTAAATTAAAAAATATGTATTATATATAATAATAAATATATAATTAATACATTAAATTTATATTAATATATTAATTTATATTTTTTATTTAAAAAAATTATTAAAATATTAAAATATTTATTATATTAAATAATATATAATTATTTTAATTTAAAATTAAAAAAATATAAATTCCTTCTAAACGTAACTTTACCGCTCACGTGTAGCATGTACAAAATTTCCCCTTATTCACTAAAAACATCTGAACACTCCAAATCAATCTTAAAATATAGAACATGTCAGCCTTATTGAAATAGAAAGAATTATAGAATATTTTCAATGAAGCCCAATTAAAACATAGGTTCAATATACTTACATAATTGCCCTTTTGGAATTGCATTTCCCTACGTAAATGAAGACCTAAACACATTCTGACTATCCTACGGGTGTAAGATTTTGATTATGGATATCCACGGTTTAATGACTTTGAGTCATGAGTTTCCTTAGATAATTTGTTATTAATTTGCTAATATGAGATTTCATTATTTTAAATATTTTAAGTTGATCATTTGTTTTCAAATTCACTGTGACTTGTATTTTTAATTAACTTTTTTAGTTTAGACTTGTATTTTAAGTTTAGGTCCCTATCTCAAGTTTTATTTTTCTTTTTATTGCTTAGACTTGCATTTTTTATTATTATTATTGCCACAAATAGGAGTGTGAATGACTTTAGCCTAACCAAGTATTTAAAGACCAAGTTTAACTGCGATCAAACTTAACTATTTTTAAACGAGTTATATTTAACTTAAATAACAGTTTTAAAACTTGAGTTTGACTCATTAGCATGTTTATAATTTTTTATTAATTTAATATTTTATAAATATTTTTATATTAAAGCTTGATTATAATATTTTTAAATTTTTAACATACATTGTTAGATGATAAAGAGAATAGTATCAGGTTGGATATGATAATTTATTTCAATTTAATCGTGATTATTTTTTGAATAATTTTTGAAGAGGTTAAAAATCAATAGTAATATAATTCTGCACGATGGAAAATTAATAAAAAATAAATTATATTAAAAATATAAAGATATCAATTAAAATAAATGAGTAAATTATAAACAATGTATAAAGTTATTATATTTTATACTTAATATATCTTGCTTTATGGGTACCGGCAAACGTGCAAAGGAGAAAATTCCCCGGAAACAAGAAAATGGTAGTGTGTGGACAGTGTACTGTAACAACTCTTCACTATCAACTATTTCTTTGATCGTTGACCAATGCCACACTATGATACGCGTCTTTAACAACTTCCTTGTCAATCTGTTGGGTTGTTAATCACACTCATTTCTACGAAAAACTTTTGGGTGCCCCCAACACGTTCAAATTTTTTGATTCACCAAAAAACATTTAAGAGACAATTTTATAACTCCAAACATTTTACTATAAATATTTTTTTAATTTGTGTAACATTGCACATAATGAAAAAACATATAGTAATTTTTATTGAAAATATAATGCGATAATATTATTAAATACTACAATTTTTAATAATATTTTATTATGATATACAATGCAAAAAAAAGTTTTAAAAATCTATTATAAATAAGAAAAAGTACTGGTGTTATATTAGTAATATGCGCCAGTCTTTGCTTGGTGCATGCTAAAATCTACCCTATTATTAATATTTTATATATAGTTAACATAATTATTGTATCTAATTGATAACTTGTAATTAGTTTTTACATATATGAAGTAATTAGCACCCTAAAACATATTTTAATATAAAATAAAATATCCAATATTAATTTAAACACATATCTTAATTACATTTAATAATTTAAAATTAATTTCACTTTAAAATAAAATGAGCCGGATCGAATAATCCACCTACCAACACGCGGTTTCAAACATCAGGATCTTGTTCTTCGGCTCCCGTTTTGGGTAGGGTACTACAGTACCCATCCCCATACCCGCGTTTTAAAAAAATACATGTACCCGGTCTCATACCCGTATGGGTATAAACATTAATCCCCGTACCCGTACCCTTTGGGTATCCGCATATCCGTCTTATATCCATTACCCGCGCTTGTTTGAGAAAAAAATATTTATAAAGAAAAATATGTTTATATAATTTCACATAAGTAGCATAATAATACAAAAATCTAATATGTAGTTGTCGAACAAGATACAAATATAGATAAAAAATAAATATTCAAAGATCATAAATGTTAAATGTATCTTAATATAATAATTTTCTAAACTAAAATTCTTAGAAACAATAAGCAAAACTAAACACACAAGTTATTTGTCAGTGATAATCCTATCTTGTGTGAGATTTGATTGATTGGTAATGTCAGAACGATAACGAAATAGATCTGTACAATGATTGTCCCTTCGTGTGGGATCACTTAGTAACCTCTTGTGACGGCATTAACAACTAACTCTAATGAATAACATTTCATAGTTATTAAGTTTTAGTAAGACAGACATTGAGAATGAGAATAGAGTTAGGGTAGAGAGGTTCAATACTAACAATAGAAAGTTGATACATAAAATATTTTTTTTAACTTTTGAATTTGAAATTGTAAGAAAAATAATAGATTTAATTAAAATAATATAATATAATATAATTAATATATATATATATATATATATATATATATTAATACTAGTATTTTTTAACTCATATACTATACGAAAGTATTTTATCAAAAATATAAATTTTTAAAAAATTATTTTAGTGAATTAAATATTTATAATGTATATAAATTTAAAAAAAAGAATTTGAATAAAAGATAAATAGTTACAATAAAATTTTATAATAAAGAAATATACGTGTATATTAAAAAAATTATACTTTTTTATCTTAAAAAAATTAATAAATAAAAATTAACAATAATTTTTTATATTTATATCTTTTCAAAAACTTCTTTGAATGTGAATAAATAGTAAAAATAATATTATTTAGATTCAATAGATTATAGTTGTGTTTGTAATATATATATTGCATAGAAAAATATTATTTTAAATTAAAATATAAAAATAAAATTTAAATATTATTAATAAATAATAAGTTTACGGTAATAGTAGGTGATTGTAAAATTTATAAAATATTTATAATATATTTATTATTTATCATTCACTTTATGATTTAAACATCAATATGATTTTATTAACAAAAATATTTGTGTAAAAAATATTTTATGTGTGTCATATATAAATAATATTTTAAAAAAAGTCAATCTCATATTAACAATGTAATAATTAAATTGTGTTAGCCTAATTAAATGATATAAAATAGTAAATAAATTTTTCTATTAAAAATATAAACCAAAATAAATTTTTTGGTTTACTTTATTATTAAATATATTTTTATATTAATTTTATATAACTTCACATAAGTAATATAATAATACAAAAATTCAATTCATAATTGTAGAATAAAATTCAAGCATATATATATATATATGCGGGTATGGGGCGGGGTGGATACTTAGATACCCATACCCGCACCCATCCCCATTAAAATTTGCGAGTTTTTACCCACACCCATACCCGTACCCGTATAGCGGGTAAATACCCTACCCATTGTGGGTAAATTTTGCGGGTGCCCATCGGGTATTTTACCCATTGTCATCCCTAGTTTTAGAGTTAAGTTGACTGTCTTTCAAGTAAAAAGAGAAATGCAGTAATAACTTATCAAATGAATCTTAGTCAACCATTGAATTATGTAAATTGTATTATTATACGTTTTTTTATTTATTTCTCATCCTATTTAATTTTGATTTAATCCAAGTCGCACACTTAAATGTAATAAGTGGGTCTACTACTGAAATTTTTTTACATATACAAAAATTTGAACCCGAAACTTTATATCATATATTTTAATTACTATTAATTATTTAGTTAAATACACATTTTTATTTGTATATGACTAAGTTCACTGTTGAAGTTCACCAAAAAAGTTATTTTGTGAAGGAGAAAAAAACATATAAAAAGGTGATAACATAGTACTTTTGAAAATAGATAAAATTATTATTTTTATATAAGTAAAGATAAAGATTATTAGTTATGTTGGAAGTGTTTGGATGAAATAAAAAACATAAATTATGTAGTAATAGAGAGAATATGATATAAAATAGGTGGAAAAACTTTAGATAGAAGTTTAAAAAAATTCATTAATGATAAAAGTGCTTTAAAAATGGCAAGAGTAGAAAAATGCTTATGAAGTATTAAAATGTATATAGAGCATCCTATATTATAACCATATTTATTAAATAGTTCTTAATTAAATGAAAATGAGAAAATATGCAATATAAACGTGGGTAATAATAACATATTGAAAACTGTGTATTAGAGAATGATTTTCATGATGGCACTAGATGGATTTGGAATATTAGTTGGCGAAGAGGACTCTTTCAACATGAGATATCGAGCTTTAATCTTTTGTTGGAGCTTGTGGATGGAGTTTCTATTAAGTTACTACAAGAAGATAAATGGGTATGGAGGACAGATTCTTCAGGTTGTTATTCAGTGCAATCTGCGTATTCATGACTATTTAAACTTTTTGGTGGTCCTAATAGTGTAGATCAGTGTACGGCAGATGCCTTGCAAAGGCTATGGAGAGGGAAGGTCCCTCTTAAGTGTCTGGTTTTTTCTTGGCAATTGTTGTTGAATGCACTTCCTTGTAAAGGTTTACTGATTGATCGTGGTGTTCAAATTGATGATATAACTTGTTGCTTCTGTCATGGTTTGGAGGAACTTCCAACTCATTTATTTTTAACGTGCTCAGTTTTATCTCAAATTTGGTACTTTACTGCGCGTTGGCTTAGATTCTCACTGGTTTTGCCTTCAGATTTATTAACTCACTTGCTTTCTTGGGTTGGTGTTGGTTGTAGTAAAAGAGAAGGAATATGCTTATTAATACAACGTGGTCTTTGTGGTTGCATAGAAATAGAATTATATTTTCCAATGGTGTTTTGGATGAGAGGGAGGTCCTAGATTCTATTATTCTGAGATCCTGAAAATGGTTATCACTTGTTAGTAAGGGAAAAGCTATTATGTTAGCTGATTGGTATTTGAACTCACGAAATTGCATAAGTATATTTTTGCTTTTTATTTCTCTGAATAAGTAATTTTTTGTGTATATGGATTTTGAGTTTCCCTTAAACTCTTTTTAATAATATTTGTTTTGCCTATAAAAAAAAATAACATATTGAAAACTGATAATAGATGTTAGTATGGAAGAGGTTGGTAAGGAAAAAGAAGATGTATGTGGTGATGATAATACAACAAATATACAATTTAGATACTTAGATTAGGACTATTCCAAAGGGCTACAAATACAAATAGCTAGTTAGAAAGGTATAACTAATTTATTTATTTGTTTCTAACACTATGCTAGAAATGAGTTTTTGGAGCGCTAACTTAGACAACGATTAGTAAAAATCGATTTGTAACTACATATTTAGAGAGCGGTTCTCTATTAACCGCTCTCAGATCTATACTTTTGAGAGCGGTTAATAGAGAACCGCTCTCAGATCTATACTTTTGAAAGCGGTTCTTTGTTAACCGCTCTCAGATTTATAGTCACACATTGGAGAGGTTAATAAAGAACCGCTTTCTAAAGTCTTTAAAATTGTTTATAAATGAAACATGCTCAATGCATTTCTTCCTTTTAGCTAACAAAGTTAGTTTCTTTTACTGTAAGTTATGTTCGTCTTCTCTCATCTCTTATGTTTTTTTTTCATCTTTTTCTATTAGCATGCTCTCTTCGTCTTCTCTCACTAACAAATTAATTTTTTTCGCATCTGTAGGTACCTCTTCATTCTCTGTTAGCTTGTTCTCTTTATCTTCTCTACGCTAACAATTTGTTTTTCTTTCATATCTGTAGTGTTTACATTTATACTTTAGAGAGCGGTTCCGCGTGGAACCGCTCTCCAATATTAACTTTTGAGAGCGGTTGTTTAACCGCTCTCTTAAATATAACACATCAGATAGCGCAAGATTTTAGAGCAGTTCTAAACGCTCTCTAATTTAAAACAGAACTGCTCTCAGATCTCCATTCTGGCGTAGTGTAAATGATTTTATTACTTTTCAATGTGTTTTATACCAATAACTCTTGTTTAGGTTTACTTACATAGATTGGCTGAAGACCAAAATTTTTAAGTTAGACATATAAATTATTTGAAAAATAGATTCATCTTGGTCTTTTATTTATTAATGTAGTTTTAATATGATTTTTTTTTACTTGTTATGGTTATTTACATAGTTTGGCTAAGATCAAAATTTTTTAGGTCAAACATAAATTATTTAAAAAAATATTATGAAATTAAATGATCATGAGTGCTTCTAGAGGAGTTAAATACTCATAAAGATACTATATTACATTATCATGCAATTACAGCACAAATCATATGAATCTCAGTATAAAAAGTTTTATTTTCTCATATTATAAAAAAGAGGCTTATAAAATAGTGTATGGACATGTTTTGTATCCAATAAATGTCTCAAATTTATGTGTTGAAACTTCAATACAGTGTACTCTCTTCTCCATTCAGAAAATAACTTGGAAGACCTAAAAGGACAAGAAATAAGGAACTCTGAGAAAGGATGCAACAAAATTGAGTAAAAAGGAATTTTTCTATTAAATGCAGAAATTATAGAGTAACAAGTAATAATAATAATAAAAAAAGCACATGCAAAGTTGCTCTACCATTTAAGCTTGTAACACTCAATCATTTCACGCACCAACTAAATCATCTATTTAAACACCCTTTCAATAATTAGTTCAATCAAGAAGTCAAACACTATTTCAAATACCAAAAAAACAGGAAAACTTCTAATGAGAAAGACATTGAAAAGAGTAACATAAATAAAAGGAATAAATTTTTTTATTGCAGAGAAAGATGAAAAATATATAAAAATATATAGTATATAAAAAAGTATTTTATGATTATTTAATATAATATAATTTTATATCATATTTTTATATCTAAATTATATTTTTTATTTATTTAAAATAAAATAATTTAATAAAATATATAAATAAAGTCGTGCAAGAATATATATATATTTATCAGTGTACGTGTAATTCTTTCAACATATATATCAAGGTGGATATTCATTCAAAGCTTTTACATATATTTATGTTAAAAATAATAGCATAATAATTTGTCATAATTAGTCCGTTCTGCAATTACCACCACTACTACTTTTTCCCCTTCTCATCCATTGATTTTTTTCCTTAGATCGATCTGTACAGTCTATTCTATTTTTTCAGAAGAAATGTTCATTTTTCAGAAGAAATAAATAGTCTTCGTTTTGATTTCTGCATAATTAAATGGCATCAACGCATGCACGCAACTGTAATCAAGCTAAACGAGTTAATAAAGTAATTTCATAGTTAACTCTAAACAAATATATTTCTCATAGTTAATTAGATCGCTCTTAAAATACAAAAGCGAGCCATAAGGTAATTTCATATCTATACACTCTAACCTTATATATATAAAATATTCTGACCTTATATAGTTAGCATGCATTCAGCTAGTAGCCTAGTAGTTTCCTTCCCGCGTATTTGGTCTTCTTCAGACTTAGTCGGCATTGTGGAGAGTGACAGTGACCCAGCAGAAAGCTCGAAGTAATTGCTAGAAGAAAATTATTTATCTATCGTTGAGAAATTATAATTATATAATAAATTTGTATATTTTCCGACAAATCTTTTAAGAAAAATGTAAGAGGAGAGAAAACATAAGATAAGAATGTGATAGAAAAACAAAATAAATAAGAAGTATTATAAAAATATTATAGGAATATTAGAATTCTTCAGCATTTCTTAAAAAATAAACGAAAAATAGAAGTTGTGTTGAAATTGCAGCAGAAGCAGCAACGAAGACTTAGAGTAGACGTGGAGGTGATGATGTTGGTATTATAGTATTGGATTTTAGGAAAGGTTTTAGGGGTAAATGAGAATGGATATGATAAGAAATGGAGGGTACGAGTTGGAGCCGCAATCAGCGGCGGAGAAAGCGGTGTCGGTGATTGGGTTGGGATACGACGTTTGCAAAGACATTCGTTTGGGGGTATGCAAATGCAGAGTGTTGGAGCTTGACATCAATCACACTAAGAACCTCGAATTTCCCGGCGGGGTTGTCGTTCCCAACGTTCCCTCTTCCGTCAAGTGTCACCCGGGAGAACGCTTAAGGCTTTCCCACATCCTTCCCTTTGATGAGGTATTTTCCATCTTTTTCACACACACACACACCTTTTTTTTTGCAAATTATTAAGATAAAATTTAAATTTTGATAAAAAGTAATGCTAAAAATACTTATATGTTAATTAATATGATTTGAGTGAATTTGTGTTGTTGCAGATGTCTAAGCTATTTAATCAAAAACTCTCTTTATCAGGGAATATCCCATCTGGCATGTTCAATGCGATGTTTGACCTGAGAAGTTGCTGCTGGAAGAAAGATGCAACGTCCACGAAAATGCTGGGTTTTGATGGGTGGTTCATAACATTGTATGAAGTTGAGTTAGATGGATCACACAGGACCATTGCCAACGATGTTATCAGAGAAGTCCCATCTTCATGGAATCCTGCTGCTCTTGCCGAGTAAGTATTTCATTATTAATTATTTCATTTTAATACTTCAATTTATATGTAATTTAAGTTTTTTATTTTGATTATTTATATTTATTTTTTTAAATTTTTTTCATGGTTCAAATTAAGTTTCTCACTTCAATATTTTATCTAATAATTAATAAAAATTTAAAGAAAATATGTTTAAAATATTTAAATATAAATGCTAAATGAAATATATAAAATATAATAAGAATTTGATATTAATTATTGTATGTAGTTTTTTTATAAATTTATATAAATTAATAATATATTATATGTTTGTTATATTTTTATTAAATATCAAACAAATATTTGGTAACGAGGAATTTAATTTAAATAATTAAAAAAATTAAAAAAAACTATATGTAAGTAATTAAAATTAAAGAGACCAAAATTACACATAAACTAAAGTATAAAAATTAAGAATTTATTTGATAATAAGGATAAAATAATAAGATAAGATATCTTGCTGTTTCATGTAATATTTTTAATGTTTATTAAGTAACATGACATGATAATTTATTATATTAATCTATTATATCTTATTTTAATTGTATGGCAGTTCAAATAAGATAAGATGATAGAAAATTTTATTTTATCTTATGTTTGATGAATACTAAGAATGTGATAACTTATCTCGTTGAATTACTATATTATATATCAAATTCTTAATATCAAGAGACTTGATAGATTAGAAATAGGGATGACAAATTAGGTCAAGTATGATGGGTTAGCCTACTTAGCTCACTGAAAATAGTGAGTTAGGGAAAGATTTTGTATTTACTAGTCCTTTCAGTTCTGCTCTCATTTTAATCCGTTAAAATGTAGGTTAACAGTGAGTCAAAATGATTTATAAAATATATAACTATTTATTATTTAAATATTAATTTAGAATATAGAATTAATAGAAAATTTATTTAATCAAAATATTTTTAAAAAATATAAAAAATGTTAAAAAATATTTTTATAAATAATAAAAAAATATTTTAAACTTTTATAAAATATGATTTTTAATAATTTTTTGTTTTAATTATAATTTTTTACCTAAAATATTTTAATTGTAACAAAGTTGAAAACATCATAATATTTTACTTAAATATAATTTATATTTTTTTCATTATTTTTTGTTTATCTCATTTATTAAACAAGATAACATAATATTATCTATTTTATTGTCAAGATATACATTAAATAAAAAATAAGATAAGAGCTTATTTTTATTTTATTATATTTTATTTTTATTTAACTCTTACATCTTATCATTGTCATTGTCCTAAATTCTTACAACAATGACGATGAGTGAAGAATTATCATGATAATATAACTTCTTTTCCTTCTTACTCATACTTCATACTATTTTTAAATTTTAATATTTTAAAAATTAATTATAAAAATAAGGTAAGAGAATGATAAAATATATTTTTGTATTTACAAAGACTGAGTTAAATTTTAAAGTGGAAATTTTTATGATAAAATGGTGGACTTCTCTGAAGAAATTAACATTATTTATTTAAAATATAACTTTTAAAAATTAAATTAAATAAATAATTTATAAAAGTGATAATAAACAAAATTATAAATTTTAACTAAATATTTTTAACATAATATTATCTTCTTCCTCTTACTCTTTATTCATGCTTACACGATTTAATTTGCACGAAAATCAAAACACGTTAAATAGGAGGGATAATCTTCACTCCCAAACATTTTTCATAAATAAATTTGGCTTGCACATGTAGCTCTAGTATCATTATTGTTGTGGCTATTCAATCTAAGCACGTTAGGTTATATACCTTACAAAGATTGAGTTTTTTTTTCTCATTTTTAAAATTTACGTCTAATTTATTTATTTATTTAACATAAGTTAGTTTTTTTTTTAAATTGACTATATATATATATTTTTTAAAAAGTTTTTCTTGAACTAAAGGGATATTTAGTGTACAAAATATTGTTTAGTTTGTAGGAATTATGTTTATTGAGAATCATATTTTCTGAAAAATAATTTTTTAGAAATTTAAAAAAAATATTTGGTGTGTTCAAATTTTTTTTGATAATGTTATATAATGTTTCCGGTCAATGTTTTTATCTTATGTTTACTTTAAATATCACTTTAAATTTAATACTTGTTTTAAAAAAATCATTTTACTTTAAATGATAATTGATAAAATTTATTCCTATTACTGATTAAATTTATGCTTATTTAAAATATAAAAAATATAGTATAATTCAAAATAAAAGGCCAATACGAAAATTGTGTGCATGTATGTATGTGAAAACACAAAATAATATATAAAATATCATTTTCATCAATTATTATTTATAAGAGTTTGCTGGTGTATACCTACATATTTTTAAAAAAATAATTATTATCTCTACACAAAAATAAATAAATTAAGTACTTTTTAACATTTTTTTTGAAGTGTACATTAGCAATCATATAAATGCTAAGTATTAGAGAGAATTATAGATTTTATTAGTTGTCTCTACAAAGAGTTAATAACACTCATAAACCACGGATTTGATTGAAAATTTAACTTGTATTTGCTCTGACTAAATAGGAAGCATTAGTTTGCTAATGCTGCAATTCACCGACTAGAGTAGTACATATGTTGATTTGGACATGAATGGTGCACTAAGTGAAATTCTTCAGGTTTATCGAGAAATATGGCACCCATTCTGTTGTCGGCGTGAAAATGGGAGGAATGGATGTGGTTCATATAAAGCAGTTAACAAAGTCAAATCTTGAACCCGCTGAAGTGCAAAAATTGCTAAAGCAAGTAGCTGATGAGAGGTTTTCTAGGGATTTAAATACAAGTTATGGTGGCAATTCTGAAATATCACAAATGCTGAAGGTACTAACGATTGATCAAATGTGCCAACACATTTTTAACTTTCTCTATCAAGGGCTCCTTGTAATTTCGAAAAATATGTTTATAACTTTCATTTTATTTATTTATATTGCACTTGAAAATCAACATACGAAGATGTGGAAGTAGGGATTTAGTTTTTTCCTCTATAAATCCACTTGGAGATAAATTGACAAACATATTTGCTCTTTTGGTATTGGGGAAAAGAAAACATGTTGCTGATTTCTTCTTCAGTGGCTGTTGACTATGAAACTGCAGTTAACTAATTTACAAATATATATGCATCAAAGCTTCATGTAAATGATCATTGATATATATAAGTTATGATCATTAGAGGGACATAAAGTTAATTTGTTTTTAATAATCATTTAAACTTTTTGGTTAAAATAATAACGTGAGTGAACAATATCCCAATTTTACTACCTTACAGGAAATCTAATGTTTTCAAATTTTAATTATTGAAATATTTTTGTAATCATCTTTGCAGAATGATGAGGAGATTCCTTGGGAAGTCCATATAGCTCTTGCTGCTTCAGTTAATCCACATGTCAAAAGTCTTACAAAAAATCAAGTAAGTAGTCATGAGATTTGTCATTTCTTCATCTGCATGCGATGTAATCACCATAAATGTGACACTTCCATGCTTGTTTATTCAAAATTATTTTTCGTACAGGATATCATGAGCATTTCAGTTCGAAGGGGTGGTTATTTTGGTATTGACCAAAATCATGATAAGTGGATTTCTACCGTATCACAATCACCAAATGTCATATCAATGAATCTTGTGCCTATTACGTCACTAATGAATTCTGTTCCTGGCATTGGATTTTTAAACCATGCAATAAATTTGTATCTTAAATGTGTGTAAGCATTTCTCCACGCGATATATTACGACTTTAGATAGTCATTTCCAATTTGGTCTGACAATTTTGTTGTTTCAAATTTATGTAGTTTATTTATTATTAGCATTGCAATAAATAAGGCACTAGTGTTTGCTTAATAGGCGTGTTAATATGTACTCGGAGTTAGGAATATGGTTAGAATATTTTGCGCAAGACTTGAACAATCCTCTTCTTTTGATTTAGATTTTAGGTGTGAATTAGGCTCACTTTTTAATAATATAGTTTCAAAGTTTATCCAGCAAAGTTCATGAACTAAGTGTTTAGTTTTAATGTGAAGGAGTGTATTAAGATGTCTCATGTCTCACATACTCTAAGGCTTGAGCAAGTGTCATTTATCTTACCTATGGTGAACAATTGTGTCATGTGACTGATGTTATAGTTTTCTACCATATTCATTTGCATGACTTGAAACATTCACACGAAGGTTTTTCCAAAATACTTCATAAAGATGGATTATGTTGGGGGCTAGTGGTTTGTGGTAGACTTAAAAAGTTATTTTGGATACTAATATGCATCTCTTAATTTTAACGTATGTATCTATAGATGCAATCAAAATCAATATAGAAGATAATTATATTGTTATTTATGGATTGAAACATTATGGCTTATCTGGTCTTAACTGCCAAACTATCAAATAATTTATGTATCATGCAGATAAACCCCCAATAGAAGAACTTCATCAATTCCTAGAATTTCAGTTACGTCGTCACTGGGCTCCAGTGTATGATCAACCTCTTAGATTTGGTTCCAATCATAGAAGAAACAAGTCTCCAGCACTTCAGTTCACATTCATGGGGCCAAAGCTTTATATAAAAACGATGCAGGTAATATGAAGTGACAATCAATATGGTATATATACGCATGTTCTGTGATAGACTTTCCCGTCTTAGCTGGTTTGTGATTGCATGCATGGATTCCGATTACCTTTTGTCTATTGACATGAGGTAAATGAAGGGAAAAGATACATGGTAAGGAAAAATAAATAGAAAGGAAGGGTATGAGTATTATAAAAGCCTGCTTTCACTTTGTTTAGTATTACTAGAAAGGAATCCTTACTTTATTTGGCTTCAATAATGAAATGAAGGAAATAAATATGTACAGGGGGGTTCACTTGCACAAAAATAAGTCTAACCCTTTTCTTCTGTTGAGAGTAAACTGATCAAAATGAGAAGTGGTTGATGTCATTCATAAAACTGATACAGAAGGTAAGTCATTATACAATAGCATGTGTATTTATACACAATTGATGGAATAACAGGAAAGAAAAAAATAAGACAGCCAAATCAGTAAAGAAATAACTCTAACTAACTTTTACAAAACTATTGCACAAAAACTATTATTGTAGGAATTAGAAAATGCAATCCTTTGGTTAGATTCATATTCTTGATCCTAATCTAACAAAGTGTTGATATAGGAAGAACAATTTAAGGGTTTATATGGTAGTATTGGTAAAAAACGATGATAAAAATAAAATGGAGAATAAAATGGGAAGGGATTGAAAAGTTTTGATTTTCACTTGTTGCCTGTTAGACAATATCGAAAACCTTATGATAGAAAAATGTTTGATTATTCTCTTAATAGTATTGTATTTTCATCCATTTTCTTATCTCATGAATTAAATTAACAAAATTTATAAAGGATAAAATATGACCTACTTTTACATTTTCATTTTATTTTTATAATTTTTTAGGTACATGTATGATTTAATATTTTACTATTTTAGTTATCTTATTTTTCTAGCTAACCACACCCTAAATAATGTCTTTCTATTAAGATATCGTGTATCAATTACAAATATTGACAAAATACAATTTATAAAAACTTAAGAAATTATCATTTTTATAAGTTAAATTAAGCTAACTTTTGGGTGTGTGATAAATTTCTTAACATGCTATTAGAATTTATTTAATTTAAATATTATATTACCTGTAGATAAGTTCTTCAAATTTTACATGCTAAATATTCAGTTTTAGGTGTGAACAAAGTGTGTTAAGATGTTTCATATCTACTAAAAATATAGGTAAATATACCTTCTACAAATTGGACAATCTTTTTACTTTAAAAATAAATTATTAAATTTGCATGATATTTTACATTAAAAAATAATGAACATTGTCTTGATTTAAAAATGATTATATGTTTTCAATTTACAAGAAATTTTTTGAAGAAAACATTTTTACTTAGAAAGAAATAAAAAAGCTTTCTAGCAGATCTTCTCTTGAGAAATAGAACATGATGAATTCATGATGTTGTTAAAGCTCATATAAGTGATCCTTAACGTGACAATATGTGACACACATGTAATTCCCAACAACTCTGTTCTCAAGGGCTGCAAATGACATGGTACGTTTAGTCCAAAACTCATTTTAACCAATTTGCAGGTTGATTGTGGATATCGTCCTATAACTGGTCTTCGATTGTTTTTGGAAGGTAGAAAAAGTGACCACCTAGCAATCCATCTTCAGCACCTCTCCAATCTTCCCAGTACAATTAAAGTGTTGGACCATCATAATCATAATTGCATTGATGAACTAATTGAAAACAGAGCCGCTTACTTTGAACCTGTTAAGTGGAAAATGTTTTCACATATATGCACTGCCCCTATACAATGTAATGGTTCACTTATTGATGAGTCCTCATGTATTGTGACAAAGGCATGGTTTGAGGTAAAGCTTATTAAAATGAAGAAAGTTCTTTTCTTGAGGCTTGGATATTCAGCAGTAGCATCATCCAAAATTCGAAAATCAGAATGGGATGGTCCTTCATCCGCATCACGAAAATCTGGATTTTTCTCAGTAATGATGAGCACATTGCTTAGCCAAGAATTGCACCAACCTGGAATTGAGACTGAAAAGCCACCTAAGGAGGATATTGATTCAGCAGTGGCCACAGGAACTTACAATGTTGAGTCTACTACTGATGCACCTGTACCAACAAAGACTCCTAAGATGTTGAGGTTTGTAGACACAAATGAAGTTGTTAGGGGTCCAAATGACACTCCTGGATATTGGGTTGTCACTGGAGCCAAGCTCTCGGTAGAGGGTGGCAAAATCTCCATTAGAGTCAAGTATTCATTGTTAGATATAATAAATGGATGAACTTGATCAAAAGTTGAGGAGGCAACTTCAATATCTAGAGTTACAGGAAAAACAACCACCACCCTCTCCCGGAAGTGAATTTTCTAATTTTTTAACTTTCTTTTTCAGCAAAATTGAAAGCACCCTATAGGCATGAAGTTAACACTGATATATGCGAAAACTTATTCACAGTTGAATATGTAAGATAACTTTCTTGGCAGGGTAATATAACAATTCTTGATTGATTTCTTGTACAGTTATATGAATTATGAGATGTTAGAGTAATATAAAATAAGATAAGAGTACTGAATGAAATTTCGTTAATTCTTAAGAGATATAAATATACCTTGATAAATTAGGGGAAAGTTTTCGAAAACAAGTCCCAAACTAGTAAACAAGTATAATGGTAAACAAGCATGAAGGTTATGAACAAAAATTTGAAAGGCATTTTAAGATAAATAGGCCATCTGAAATAACAAATAACTTTTTCACACTCTTGGACATGACATCATATCCAAAATCTAAAGCCCAAAAAAAAATAATAATAAAGTAGCAAAAATAAAAAATAAAAAATGAATGGTCCTCCTAGAAACAATGGAAAGGTAGAAAATAAATGAAGGAAAAGCTAAATAAATAAAAGATGAACTTACAACTTCTAAAACTCAAAGAAAAGAATCACAAGCCTTGGAAATAAAATGACGAGAAATGTGGCATCCAAAGGAAAGTAATAAGAAAAGTAAACTTTCTTTGAAGTCTCAAGTATGTAACTATGTAAAATATTTGGAAAAACAAAGTTTTATTATTTTTTACATAACATTTATTAATTATATTTTTTAACAAATTGTTTTGTTTTAAAATTTTTAACTAGTATTATTAAAGCATTGGTTGGCATTTCACTATTATTTTTATTGGTTAAACGAGGAGTTTGTGGCTCGAGTTCGAAGTATTAATTAAATTCATATTATTTTATACCATTTTTACAAGTGAGTGCTTTTATTGTTTCTTCTCCTTTATCTTTATGAGCTAGATGAATTAAAAACAAAAATTTATAAAAATATAAATTATATTTTAATAAAGTAATATTAAATAATTATATATATGTATATGGACAAAATCTTCTTATATTAATATAAGTCTAAAAATTTTTATACTCAATCTGAATATTTTATTTAATTTAAATCTAACAGGTTATAATTTATTACTTCATTGATCGTTAGATTTAAGTTAAATGAAAGGTTCAAATTAGGTGTAAGAGTCTTTTAGACTTATCCTTCCTCATATATATATATATATATATATATATATATATATATATAATTTATATAATATATTAAATTAAAATTAATATAATAAATTAAAATTTTAAATTTATGTTAATTAATTTTATTACATGTTTACTAACAAACATAATATTTTTATCTTCATAAATTTATTTGAATATGCTTTACTATATGTTAAATATTTTGTTATATTAAATTAATTTTTTAATAATATTAAAACAAAATAATATAATATAAATTAAAATTTGTCTATTTTATATAATAAAAATGAGAGTGTAGTGGTTAAAAGCTTTATTTCTCAAGCTGTGGGTTTGAGACCTGTTGGATGAGATTTTCATACTCAGTATATCATACGATAGAATTTAACTTATGCTAAGCAATTCTATTTCTCTTTGTGTTGATACAAGATTCACCACTCTTGCATTCTTCAATGTGTTACAATGTTAACTCTTTTTTTAAGGAGAGTTAAAATATTAATAGTACTAATTTATCAATATGTTGTGTGTGTATATATATATATATATATATATATATTTAAAATATAAATTAAAATAATATCTATAATATATACTTTTTAAACTGATAATTATTCAAAACTTTGTCTATGTTTATTAAATGAGTGAAATATTTTTTATAAACAAAAAATAAAGAATGACTGGAATATTTCAACTTTAATTTAACCTTTTGAGGGATTTATAAAATTTTGCGAAAGTTATTTTAATTTATGATAACAGTTTATAATTTTTATAAGTTTGTTTTAATATTTTAATAACACTTATTAGAAGAAGGTTTATTAAATTTATTTTCATAACTTTTATAATTAAATTTATAAAAATAAATTGTTACATAACTAATAATCAAATTGTTTATTTAAATATATTTTTATTAGAACTTAATTTAAATAATCTGTCAATACAAAAATCTAATCATAAATTATCAAATCACAAAAAATTAATAATTTTTATAACACTTAATATAAAAATTGTATTTTTGAGGCATTTTAAACCCTTGTTTTTACTATATACAAGCTTAATAAATTAATTTTTATCTTTATAATAATTAAAGACCTTAACCGTTGTTCATGTTGATATGTAAATATTTGTAATGACTAAAAATTCAAGATATACATGTTTTTTTAATTACTAAATAAATATCAAAATAATTTTCTATTATAATTAAAAACATTATATATATTTCAGCAATTAATCAGGTAGTTTGGAATCAAAATCCGGGATAATGTAAGCTCTAACTGTCCAGCATATACGGCAAATTTCGCCTCAATTCAAATAATTTAATTGATATATTTAAAAAGTATGATTTTAATAAGTGCAAATCAAATTATTTTTAAAAAATCATTTAATAACTTTTGTCGATTTGTAAATTTTATTAATTTTATTATTGCATTCACAATTTATATCAATATTAATTTTTAAAAATTTATACAATTCATAAATTAATCAAACAATAATTTTACTTTAGTTCATTATATATTTATTAGAATATGTCTACAGATACATAATTTATTTTAATATATATATCTTATTTAATTAGCAGATTAATAAAATTTATCATTTATAAACAGTTATTTGATAAAATTATTCGTAAAATAATTTAATTCTCATATTTAATAAATTATTAAATGAAGAAGAAGAAGGAAGGACGGAATTTGTATAGGCGAGGGGAGTGGAGGATTGTGTGTGTGGTGTTGAGATTGGTGTTGCGTGGGTTATGTGAGAGTGAGATTCACATGGGAAGGGTTTTTCTTGTTGATTTGGATGGTAGATCCTACCGATGCAGATTCTGCCGTACCCCTCTTGCCCTCGCTGATCACGTTCTCTCTCGTGTACGCTTCTCTCTTTCAAACCCACTTTTTCTTTTTCCAATTTTTTTATATTTTTTAATGTTTGCCCAATATTAAAAATTCACTTTTTCTGTGTCTGAAGGTTAATTAAATGTGTGGAAAGTTACTGTTTTTGTTTTGGTTATTGATTGGCTGTAACTGGGTTGCAATCACTTTCTGGAAATACAGAATCCATTGAGTTTTTGCAGTGTCTGCATGCTATGTTCGGTGCAACTTTCTGATAAATTAGGGATTTAGAAGTTATCTGATTCCTTTTGTTTTTGAAAAGATGATGTATTGAATTTGATATCAATATTTGGAGAAGGATGGTTTGAGTCTGTAAATTGAAGCAGGCATTTGTTCCTGGTGCGGGTGTTTTCAGTTTGGAATTGCCTAAATGACGTGTGAGATGATGCTAGGATGGAAATTGTGGCAAATGTTTATTTCATGAGTCCAGTGAATTAATGATTTAGACATTGAAGTCATAAGTTTTTGGATGAAAATTAAGCAAGGGATGGTAACTGTATGAATTAATTTTAATCTGCGAAGAACCCTGTATGGAGCTAGCGTTGGATCATGCATAGCTATCAATAACGGAACAGAGCAGCCTTAGGCCACTATAAAATTTGAAGAGCGGTGCGGTTTTGAATAGCAGCCAAAATAGCGGCAGTAGTACTGCTATAGCGGCTAGAGCGAAACTTAAAAAAAAAAAAATCAATTTTGCCTAAAATGCACTGCTATGGGGGATTTATTTACTTCTATTGTTATTCTTGTTTGTTTTGCCTAAGAACTATGACTTATTTTTAATTATGAATATGTCATGGATTTTAAGTTTTTTTAGATTTTTTTACATTTATATATATAAATTATTTAATTTTTATATAAAATTTCTAAAAAGCAGTCATCCCACTATGCTATGCGCTATCTATCCCGTCATAGCATTTTTGGCGTTGATTGCTACACACTACTATCCGAGATTGCTAAGTATGGGATCATGTAGGTAACGATGAACTGAAACAGCTGACTTTTGTAGTAGGTTAATGAAGAAGTTGCTTTTTTGAAATTGGAATTAACTTTATTGAGAGAAGAATAAAAGTTTACTTTTGGGGAAAATTTAAATATGATTGTAGATCATGTTTCATTCCACAACTCCATAGGGAATTTTTATTGAATGAACAAGTGTACTGTGAACACTTTTCTGCAAGACACATCCCTTCTTTCCTAGCTTATGCCCTGTGGAAGAATGTACATGGAACCCGTGGAGGGATTTTTTCACTTGTTTCAATGCTAGAAAGTAGAAACCAAAGAAACGACTTGGAAGAATTTTTTTATTTTTTTAAATATTCAAACCACAATAAAAGTTGTTACTTGTTAGTGTGAAGTATAAGAGAGCTTTTGAGTCACTTGCCCCTTGGTTCCTTGCCATTTTGTTTCATCACACTTCTACTACCCACTTCCATTGTGGGTGTGAGACAGGGAGGTCTTATTTAAAATGAGGGCTCTCCTAATATCAACTTGGCTTTTAGGAGTGAAATAATTTTGGTTAGAATTTGCTTATTTTGCCACCATTTTATCGAGAAATGTTAACAATACACTCTTTAAGACACTATTTCAAACAAACTTTATTGTTGGATGAAATTTATTAGAAATTACAAAAATTGTGCAAGTCACACTCCTAATATAATAAATCTCACTCATGCTTTTGTAGTTTCTAATAAATTTTAGTTAATAATTAATAGTGTATTAAAGTGTGTGTTTCTAACACTCCTCCATTTTATTTGATGTTGCTATACATGGTACATAAATTAGAATTTTGCTAAAGTCCAAATGTTTTTAGGTGTGAATATAATTCTGTACGCAAAGATGCACAATGTTGTAAACTTACATTTTGGCATAAAGAGTAGACCAGGCCAATATATGTGATTGTCGTTACTTTGACAGCAAATTGAATTATTTCATTTCTTGACACTTTTGGCACTTTTAGTCTCTTTCCAAAAAAATTATTGTGTTATTATTTAACTGCTTAATGAAAATGCCAGTGACTGGTGAGCCTTTCACATTTCCAATGTAAGCTAACTTTATGCTTTTTCCATTCAAAATACTGCAAAACAGGTTATATAAATCCAAGAATGTAAAACAGGTTCAACAGTCAAATTTAATCTTGTCCTAGATAATTATTATAAATTGCTGTGACTTATTCCACTCTCAAAAATGTACCTAGTTCCTTGTGCACAAGTCTTTCCATATACTCTAGCAATTTGACTGTCGTTTGTTTCCCTGTGATGATCAGTCCTTCAACTGCAGTCAAGGGAGGGCATACCTTTTCAGCAATGTGTAAGTTATTTAAACTGTTCGTTTCTATTCCCTGCTCCCTGCTCCCTGTCCTGTCCCCTATTCCCTGATTTTTCAGGTTATCATCATACTTTCATATCAATCTACTTTGATATTTGTTTGGTATTTTGCTACAGACGAATTTAATAGTTCCACCCTGCCAGGGCCTCCCTGCCCTCACAGCACCCCCAACCCTAAAGCATTTATTCCTCTTATAGGTTTGGGAAAATGAATTGAAACATGATGGGTTTATTTATGATATAAAAAAGTTATGATTTTCTTCTGGCTTACAAAATCAACGCCTTACCTGCACCTTTGTGATTAACAATTTCCAATGTCCTTGTTTGTTAATCTTCGGCCTTTGATAGGGTGAATATAACACTTGGGGATCAGGTGGAGAGATTGATGTTATCTGGATTGCATACAGTTGAAGACATATTTTGTTGCTGCTGTGGGCAAATTCTTGGATGGAAATATGTGAGCTTTACCTTTTGCACCTGTAGTTTCCTTTCATGTCATGATTTTGATCACTTTAAGGAATAAGCATCATACAGCATGTAGTCAATATGGAATATTGTGAAGATTAATATACAAATAACATCTTTTGGGGAAGTTTTATGGGCTTGAGGAATTTATTTTGTTGAGTTTGTTAAGTGCTGCATGTCTTGTTTTAGAAATGACAGGTCTGAAGATACGAAACTTCTTTCTGAAAGAGTTTAAAAGTATGGGAAAAATCTAATGATTGCCCTGAGATCAATATGTAAAAAAATCCTGTTAGAAGTGCATTGGAAATTGTTGAAATTGTGATATTTTAGGTATATAGAGAAAAAGAGGGATAAACAGAATTGGTATTCACTGAGATGTATGAAAATGTGTTGAGATGTTTTGGATATGCTGATCATAATCCTATCTAATTATGAAGACAAATCATGATGAGATAAGGAAACACGGTTGCTAATCCCAAGAGATAATGATAAATTAAGGTAACTAATTCTAGAAGATAGTAAGATACTATATAATAGGATGATATTTTTAAATATTTTTATCTATCCTAAGACTCTCCCTTGAGTTAAAAGCTTGTTACAAATAAACCCTTTAAAGAAGTACAAACAGGATGACTTGAGACTCTCAAACGGAATAATTAAAATGATTCTTCAAGACTATTACGGGGTCAGATGATACTTCTAGATTTCAAAGCAGTGGGGCCAAGCTAATTTCTCTGGGGCAGCCAGAGTTAGACAAATCTCTGGGAAAGCTGCAAAGCAAAATTGATTTCTCTGGGAAAGGCACCTGGGCAGTTGGTACTTCTGGTGAAATTGTGAGGCCAGATTGATTTTTCTGGGAAAGTTGTATTGCCAAGTGAATCTCTAGGAAAGCTGTGGATCTAAGTATTGTCTTTAGGAAAGCTGCATTACCTTGCAAATTGTTGGCAAAGCCATGGGCTAGGTATTGTCTCTAGAAAAGTCACGGGGTGAGTTGATACTTCCGGTAAAGTCATGGGACTAAACTTATTTCCCTAATCTCAGTGCACAATTTAAAGTATGTACATTTGCCAGAAAGATGACACGACAGTGGGGAAAAAATGATGGTAGTTGGAGAAACAATAATAGAAAGGAGTTGGAGGGTCAATTTGATGGAAGAATCATAAAAATAAAATACAACTAATTTTATGGAGCTTGGGAGTGGAATAGTGGCAAAACAGGTCACGAAGGATGGTACCTCTCTAAGATACCATGTTAATACTGGTATTTTAGGTATATAGAGAAGAGAGACAAAGCAGAGAGAGAGAGATATAAAGTAGAATGGATATTTATTGAGTTGTACGACAATGTGTTGAGATGTTTTCGATGCATTTATCATAATCCTATCTAATAAGAAAACAAATCATGATAAGATAAGGAAACATGGTAACGTCATTGGTATGCAGGTGCTTGGTTAAGTCTTTCTCCATGTTCCCTCCTCTATCTAATTTGCACTTATCACCATATATTAGCATAACATTTTTTATTAGTTCGAAGTAGTTTCAAATTATAACAAATTTGGATTCATTCAGGTTGTCGCACACGACAAAAATGAAATATACAAAGAAGGGAAGTTTGTGCTTGAGAGGTATGGTGCAAAGCATGGTTTTGACTTTGATCATGTCAAGCTATGCTAAAATTTAATTATTCTGGATGCATCTAACAGGTGGAGGATAGTTGACGATGTTGCAGAGGAATTAAATTTGGATGCTCGTGCTGGCTCAAGTGACACAGGCTCAAGTGACACAGAAAATGCTTAGCAAGTTACTTCTTTTCATGAATTTCAAGTATTGTAGCTAGCAAGTATATATATTACGCGTTATTGTAGCTAGCCAGTAAATATATTATAACCTTGGTATTCATCAAGATACAATTTCACATATAAACTCCTTAGAACAACTCAAGGTTAGCCCATTTCAAGCATTTATAAATCTTGTCATAGTGCACTGAATCTTCTTGCTAGATATTTATGGAGGGCATATAATAGGCATATCCTTTATGATCGTGCAGATCCTGAGGCTTGAAAGAGTAATTCATCTTATTTTTATGAGTTGAAGTTAAGATACATTGCTTGATCTCAATTATTCAGATATGTGTGGAGAGTTAGATTACTGTTCTAGATGTAAGTTTGCAGCTACATTTTTAAAAAAGTTGGATTTGTTGTGTTATCATGTGCATCCCGGTCAAGTAGGGGTTAACTGGTAATCGTTTTCCTTTGGAACAATTAAATTATAGAACATGTGTGTCTGGACACTTGAAATGAATGGATTGACACGACAATCAATGAAGTATTAGTAACATTCGTGTGGAATTGCTTTTATGTCGATTTGCTGCATGTTAAATATCGAGTTGTAAATGCCGTAGGCTTTACATTGAAGAATTTGAAAGACAATTAAACAGAAAAGTAGAAATCGTAAGATATAATTAATGTGGTTAGTATGTTGGAAGTTATGACAAAAGTGGACAATGTCCAAGTTTATTTGCCAAATTCTTTGAGAAATGTATCATATGTGAACAAGCCATAATGTTGGTTCACTCTAAACAAAATGTAACATAACATTATTAGAGATAGGTAAAAATATGCTAAGTAATTCTTCATTGCATATTTTATCGCAGACTCATGCTTTTAAGACCATCAGGTAGTTGTTAAATAAGATTCTTAGTAATCCAATGTCAAAAGACTACTGAATTGTGGACTAGAAGGCAATGTAGTTTAAAACATTTCTATGTATAGGGGTGCCAAGTTGAAATTAAATTTTATAATGTAAAAGAAAACAAATAAATTTAACAATCAGCTGTTATTTCATTAGAAATCTAAAAATGTTAAGGGTTATAAACCTATTATCAAAACTATATCAACGATTATCGGTAATAGGAATGCTAGGCTCAGTAGGAATGAGAGCGAAGTTGGGGGGCAAAGTGTAAATTAAAAAATGTGTGCATGTCTCATTGATTCTTGTTTTTAATCAACAACCATGAAGAACTTGTAAATCATTTCATTACTCACAATCAGATTGAAGTGAATGAGTTTGTAGCGGAAGAATCACAAAAAATAGCATAAAGATATCTACACACTTGTATATCGAAACTAAAATATAAATAAAGATAATAATACACAATATTAAATACAATATTAATTATTTAATATTTAAATAGTGAAACTATTATATAAATTATGATTTATATACTTGTGTATAAAAACTTTTTCTTACATCTTAAAATCTCTACATGGCCTCTAAAAGGACAAAGGAAAAAAAATGTAAACACGATAATGAACAAAATTTTCTGAGTTGGGAATTCCAGGTGAGTTCTCAGCTTGAGAAGTTCAGTGGTCTCAAGAAATTCAGAATCTGGAGTGAACAAGGTATGGAGGAGAACTGTCAGAAGATGGATCAGATTACACTGCCATTGATCTACCAAATTAGTAATGCTATTCTCCAATGTGAAAGTGAGAAGCTCTTGATGGCATGAAACAGAACAATACTGAGGGACTCATAAGGTATTAGAATGATGGAATGTTATGATGAAAGCAAAATAGGCCCATTTTCAGCTGCAGTATATGTGTTGCCATTATGATGATGCCTTGTCATCTGAATGTCACGTGAAAAATGGGTCCTTGCTTTTGCATATGGAGCTGCCCTTCCTGCAAGAAGAGAAACGAACTATAATTTTCCATTCAATATGATTTCTTAATGCTTCAAAAGGTCACCTGTGGTAGTTAAGAATGTACTCGTAACAAAAGTTCGTAATTAATTTAAAATTCTATAAATTATTTTTTTCAATGAATTAATAGGACTAGATAGTTTATAATTTTTAAAAACTAGTTTAGAAAAATTTATTCTAAATAACATTTAACTTATTAATAGTCATCTTTCAATTTTTTTTTTTTTCACTTTTAACTTTTTAAATAATTTGCACTTACAAAATAATATTAACAACTTCCTTTTAAATCATTTAACGCATTTTAACTATTCATATAACTAATTTTATCAGACATTTGTAATTTAATTAATCAATTAAATTATATATTTTTAATTATTAAATTATAAACTTTCACTTATTTTATCAAAACTGAATTTAATTCAACAGCTTAAAGCTAGCGCCGGGGACCTTAACCAAATTAAGTTTAGCTTTATACATGGCAAAACAATCCGAACTTACACAATGAGTCCCTTCACAAATCAAGATTATTTTTAATTATAAAATGTCAGATTGTTTTTGTTGTTTCTTATTTTTAAAAATTTATAAGAAAATATAAAAGTATTTTTTTTCTGGTTTTACTTTTTCTTATATATATTTTTTAAGACAGAATAAAAATAAGGTAATAACTTTATAATTAAAAAAAAAATTTAAAACCAAACAACTCCTTTAATTGATAAATTCACCAACACAATAAATGAATGTTTGAATTTTATTTTAGAGTTATTTGTGTTGAGTGCGGAACAAACAGAAAAAGAATGATTATTTTCTTAAAAACAAGAATTGAACCAAACATAGGTTAGGTGGAAGTCGAACAAGCATACAATGTTTGGTTAGTGGCTTAGTGCAGTTATAATCTACACGTGATGAATATTCCTTACCTGCAATTTGCTTAGCTCGGAGGATATTCTGTCGCCTTTTCCACCAACAAACTGAACCGATAACGAGAAGGAGAAATGTAAAAGAAGCCCCTAATCCAATGCTAATTTTAGCACCGACAGAAAGATGTCCACATGTAGGTAATCCAGGTATACCACACAGACCTGCATTATCAGTAAAACTGCAGCATCCGCAAGTTATAAATTTTTTGTTACTTAGCAAAACAAAGTGAACAAACAAAATATACATTAAATATCCTGCTGTTGCATTTTTGTATTCTATAATTTGCCTAAAGCTTAATCTTTGACAACATACTTGAAGCTAGCTCTGTAGAGGAGTCTTCCTCCTAGAGTTGCTGGGACCCTTCCAGACAGGATGTTGCTGTTAAGATTCCTGCATGAAGACATTTTGATACAGATTTGTTGCCTTCATATTTGTTTTATGGGTTAGTAAAACACTGGAGAATCTTACAGTCTTTGTAATGACGTCAACTGTCCAAGGCTTTCTGGAATTGATCCATTGAAAACGTTGTAGGACAGGTCACTGCATGATTACATGGCATTCAGAAATGACAATAACATGATAAATTGATAACCAAAGCCAAGACAGATGGAACATACTAGCGTTATTACAGGCAATCTGTAAGCAATGTTATAATGGCAATTTATAACCATAATATCTGCATTAATATGTTGTAATTAGCTATTTGTAATTGACAATTTATAGCCACAATATCTGCTGTCATTACAGAATCAATGGCCTCTATCATGCACTGCACATGCCTATTTATATAAGTTGGTTTTTAATTAGTAAACACAGAATTGATCCTTTCACATTTTTATCAGAACATGTTTCTCACCTTTGACCAAAAAACAATGGAAACAATATCATTAGAAAAATAGAAAGAAGAGATCACTTACAGCACTTGTAGGCTAGTTATTGTACCAAGTGAGGATGGAATTGCTCCATGGATGTTGTTCCCACTCAAGTTTCTGCAATGCAAAAGCTAATAAGCACAAGGAATGGAAAAATGAAATTGCTGGTTGTTTTACAGAATAATGAGTTAATACAACAAATAATAAATTCAGACAAATTACTTAAATATTTGTTACTATTTATTCGAACGTAGTCTTCATAAGTAGGATATGATTAAATTATTATGAATCATCACGCATCATGCCCAGATCCACGCATTGACATAAAATATTTAGACATACAACATGTTTATCCAAAATACTTAAGGAACCGATTTGGAACTCACAGGATTTGTAGATTAGGCAATCTGGATATGTCATTTGGCAAGAAACCTTTCAGACCCTGATTGTCTAGAACACTGTTCATCAACAAATCAAGCATTAATTAACCAAGATCCTGAGATTGAATATTCAACATTATTAAATATTCAAAACAGTTTTCAACACAAACACAATGTCTTTGTACCCTAGTGGAACCAATCTCTTAAAGCAGAGAGATTTATTGTATTACTGGAAAGTAGAGCAACGGGCCAAATTGAAAGTAATTTTCTTATACATAACACTTATTTTCAATTTCGTCCATGTCCTTCAACGTGTTCACTGCGTTATAAATCCTAAACAACTAATGAGAATCAAATTGAAAACAATTGTACGTGGTGGGGATTAAATTGATAACTATTTTCATTAAGGGTCCAAACTAAAAGAAAAAAGTGTCAGACTCGTAGATAAGAACTAAAATTGTGTTTTAACCTTTTCTTAAAATAAAATTGGCCCAAAGCAATTTATGAATGGGGAGAGTCAATGCAAGGGTTACTTCCTGAAATTAGGAACAAAATAAAAAGGTTGTTATCATAAAGTAAAATTAAGTTAAACTTCCTAAACTGAGTTAAAAAGAAACATATATTAACCAGAGTTTACATGTAAGCTGTCATGTGCACACAGAAATGCATACATGCAGCCATATCACAAAATCTACCCCTTTTTATTTCCTAATAGAAGGTTATCCATCTCCTTCCTCTTGAAGCTCTGGTAACGAAGAATATTAACATGATTCTTGATTTTGGTATAACTAGAGAGAACAAATTGATAAAGTGAAAGGGCAAGAATAAATAAGACGAAAACAGCATTAAATGCTACCACACAATCAAATGTACAGAAAAAAACTATACATAAGGATAACAAGAAATTACAGTCCATCAATGACCCAGCTGCCACTGCTTTTGTTTAATTGGCAATTCACTCCACTCCATGGATGTTGCTGAGGAACACATGGATCACCATTCCACCCAAACCTGGGTGGAAGCCCCAATGCTTTCTTCAATGTTTGTAATGCCCCAACTAGAGTACAGAACAATAATAAACTTGCATAAGTTTACATGCATTTGGATTGCCGAAAACAGCATATGCTAAAATTAACAGTTCATGAATCAGAGAACAAGTAAATGAAACAAGTATCACAAAGCCACTGATCAATAAATATCATCCCTGACATTAAGGAAGAACTGCAAAAGCAGTCAATAAAGGAAAAGCACAAAGAGAAAGTATGATACTCCATCTAAAAGTAACCCAAAAATTGAAGTTTATTGAGCTGTGTTAATTGATTAGAAATAAAAAGAAGCCACAAATTGCACATATTCAACATCACCAATATAGTTTTGACGAACATATCATATGGAAATCTTATGTTTTGGTTTTTATTATGATTTTAAGTCAAATACATTTTATAGGTATGACTTTGTATTGATTGTTATAAATTAGGCATATGTGGGGTAGATTAACTTAAATCCAAATCAATGATCGACGGAATCTTAATCATTTAGAGTTGATTACTTGGTTTACACTAACACTTGGATTTTGTTCATTTGTGAAACTGTCGAGTTAATTGATTACACGTACTTTTTAATTAATTACAGTAATATTTTAATGAAACCATGTCTCTCTAATTTAATCGATTACTAGGATTTTGTAACCAATTATACACGTGAAAAATTCATTTGAATAAAATCCATACTCTCTAGAACAATTGATTAGCAATATTTCGTAATCAATTATACACATTAAAAATTCATTTAAAGAAAATCCATACTCTCTTAAACAATTAATTATAATAACATTTAATAAGTTGTGTGATTTTTTTGAGCAATATACAGGCTACATTAAACACTTTAGCTGGTTACAAAAGTTGGATAATCCATTAAAATAGACTTGTTTTGTTATTTTAAATAACTTATCTCTTCTAACTTTAGTGTACGATTTTCATTTTACTAAAATATTTACGAAACACACTTTAAGAGAGATTCAGAGTTATTGCTATTCTAAAGAATGTGATTGTTCATAACCAAGATTCAATAATCATCTAATTGGTTTTATAAAAAAAAAAATTGAAAGATTTTTGCACAAACATACAATATTCAATAATCATCAATATTTTGCACAAATTGTACGATGTTTGATTCTGGTTTTAATTTTTTTTATAGGATTCAGGAAATGATTAAGAAAATTGCATGTGCATAGTATTTAGTATTTGTTACATAAAATATTTTTTTATGAAAATAGTTTGACTAGTGTTATCAAACTAACACTGGATGTAGATTGAGGTGAGTCGAACCAGTATAAATTCTTGTGTTCCTTTCTCTTTTATCTTATCTTTTATTTTGACATCTAATTGATAAGGATAGAGTTTTTATTTAAAGAATGAAATTATTTTAAAACGCGTTTATAAGCTGAATACTTTAAGCAATAAGGTTTTAAAAGAAAATTTAAAGAAATTCATTCATACCCTCTGTATTTCTGACCATTTTTACAACACCAAAGAACATGCACATAATGTCATCACAAATCTTGATAAGGATATTTCAAATTTAATCAAGTTCTTTGCCAAATTCAATGCAGGTTTTCTTTAATAATACAATAAATTACTGTATACCATACTAGTATGAACATTCATGTTGAATAAACAGTAACAATAGTGGGGATAAGCACATGTACCTTCCTCTGGTAAAGTTTTTGACTCAGCCATTATAACCTCAAATATCTCAACGGCATTGATTATGGCGAGATTACCTTCCTTTGGGCTCAATGTTATCGACAGAATCCTCCCATTAACAGTAACAGTCGTATTAAGTACAAGGGCAGTATAGATATCACCACTCAATTTCACAATGTCAACATCTTTGAAAGCAAGATCGCCGTTTATCATAATATCAAAGAGCCTTTGCCCCGCAGCAGTCACTGAATTATCAATCTCCGCAAAATGTAACCAAATAGAATAGTTTCTATTGGGATCCACCTCCAATGTATATGTTAAGTCAGGCTGACTATTAGTACTAACAAGGGCTGACTGATAAAGATTTTCTGGATAGAAGTTTGGTGGATGCGAAGCCTGTTTGATTCTAGTTTCAACAGATCTAGGTTGATCAGAATCCTCCCCAAAATTTCTAATGCGTTGCCAAAATCTGTCCCCTCCCCTGGGATCCCCACCATAATCTACGTCAAACTTTGACTGCCCAAAGCCACAACTCAGTCTTTTCACTGTTCTAAGTATCATCCTTTGACTCCACTGGGGCGCAAAATAATAAGCCTGATCATCAATTTGAAGAACCTCGATAGAAAGGATTGCAGGATCTCCATGACCAGTGCTATGGAAACAGATTGAAACAGAGTCTGTAAGAAACACTAAGGCCTCTGCAAACACTTGATCATCGTTCTTAGTCCAACCTGATTTCAAAGAATAAATTTGCGTGCCTTCAATGGAAATGTCATACAGAGGTTCACTGGTATCTCTAGACTGATCAACAAGTCCAAAGAAGATCCTGATTGTGTAGTGACCCTTTGGCACTTTATTAATGTAGTAACAATTTTGAGGACCTTCAGACAAGGGGAAATAGCGAAGAGTGTTGAGTGGTGGGGTAATATAGCTCGGATGAGTTGCATTTGCTGCTACACCTCCTGTATACCCAAAATCTTTACGCCAAAGGGTACTGGTTGGTCTTGTTTGAACATTTTGACGAGCCCCACAGCTTAACCGCATAGCAAATGGTGCTGCAGCGATTTTAGCCAAATCAAAAAAGGCGAAAACTCTCAATACATTTTAAAACCATTTGCAAGCAATCAAGCTGGTTCATTGACCAAGAAAACAGCTACAAGTACAACCAACTAGAAACTGTCTCTTCAGTTGTAAATCTCAAAATGAATTCATTCATTGCCAACGGATTGCAAAAATGAAATTTGATCACTTATGTTAGACATTGTTGAATTATGTGCAATGGTACTGCTAGTTTTAAAAGCTTAGCAAATACATTATTATTGAGAATAACAGAAATTAGCTGGAAAAATTCTTACTGAAAAGTAAATTTGTGTTAAAATTAATTTGTTCCAAAGTTTGGACAAGCTAACAACTTTAATATAAGCTTCTGAAGATCAAAGTATAAATTCTACCGTCCAACTTCGATTAAGCAAGCTTTCAATGTACATAAACAAAAGGAGAGAGAAAAGAGAAGAACTGAAGCTGACCTTGCCGCGCTGCATACGATACACAAGCAAAGCAGAGCATCCATAGCTGAAGAAATCGAAGAAGCATTGTCATGGATTTTACCTTTGCTTCTCTCTCTCTCTCTCCAACTTCTCCTTCTTCGTCTTTCTTTCTTTTTCTCTCTCACTCATTCATAGCGTCCCCATTTGTGTTGAGTGCTTTTTCTAGAGAGAGAATGTGGGGTGTGCTGTGCACTTTTGCACATCACGCTTGCAAAATCTTCTTCGTTTAAGTTTACGCGCGAGCGCCAAGGACACGAGCGGAACATGCAGTGCTGCTGCTGAGCCTTATCATGACCCATGCAGGTTCAATCGGACGCTGTAGATTCGCTCTCAAAGTCCCAACTCATCACACCTTTATATACATTCATTTATGATTAAGTAAATTAGGTCAACAAGGTGGAAGTGACGTGGATATAATTATTCGTTATTAAATTAGAAGTCATGGAGTCGTTAAAGTTGGTATGATTTTGATGGAAGAAAAATATTTCCATTAAATATATAAATATAGTTACTATTTTTTATTCGTATTTTTTTGGGTAAGAAATTGCTACTTTTTAATGTCAAGTAGATGAGGGTAAAGTTCTAAGGCTGTTAAAATTACACAACATGATTAGCCTTTAGAAGTGAATAATATGATTGTAGATGATGATGGATCCGACGGTGCAGAATGGTCATGAGATGGGTTCGTTCAACATTTTGACTTTTGCCGAACACTGTGTAGTGGGCAGAGATTGGTGCGCAATCATCGGAGGGTAGGGTACGCCGAATTTCCTTTCTTGTTTTGTTCATTTTTCTTCCACTTGGGTACAGGCCAAGTCAGGGATCTCAAGAATATATCAAATTAATTAATTTAATTTTTTAAATTATATTTTTGGAGATCAGAATAGCTATCATTTAATAATCTCAAAAATAAAAGTATAATTAAACTTAATTGTGTTTATATAGTGATGGTGGATATATAGTGAGATAATTGAATAATTGATATAAAATTATAAGTGCTGCAGCAAATGGTATTTTAAAGGGTGCGTCTTTCCAAGGATTGAAGGCAAAACAAAAGAAGGTAGAAGAAGAGTTAATTTGCCTATGTTTAAATTTTAGTGTCGGTGATCCATTATACACACTTTTTAACCTGTAGCCCAGAAGCCTTCACCATTTTCCAGTATTTTGGTTTATTTAAACAAAAAGTTGATATTTTTTATCCATGGTTCCTTTTTCTTTTCTATTTATCTCTCTAATTATAAAACTTTTGATGCTTCTTTTTTTTGTAAAAGTATCATTACTCAAATGTTTATATCTAAACAAGTAAGGCACTATCAATGTAAAGTACTAAATATATTTTTCAAATGTGCATTCGAAAAAAATGAGATCTTGTACCAACGAAGAGAAATATGACAGTATAGCAAGTCTAAATATTGAACAAGTTAAATATGAAACATTTTACAGCTTTGGGCTGCCACTCACACAAATAAATTATTTAAGTATGATGTAGTTTCACAGTGAGATTTTACCTTATCGCTTAATCAATTAATCGTGTTGTTATATAGTTTAAAAAGTTAAATTGTCACAACATCTACCTTAGATCTTATACTCTTGCAATACATGATTGAATCATGACAGGATAACACTTCACATTCACATTACTTCGAAATTGAATTCATATAGAAAACAAATATTAATATCTAAGATATTGATACAGAAATGAAGATTGAAACGAAGAGTGTCACCTGCATGCGTCAAACACCACGCACAAGAAATGCAAAATTCCCCATAAATATTTGAAGTTTAACATAGAAGAATTGCATAAAGATAAGCTTTAATTATTTCAGTATATCTCTAACTTTTCTCGTGGAACATTAGCTTGTCCTTTAATAGGCCCTGGCTGAATGGCCTTGCATTTTCGGCATGGTGATAGAAAAGACCTGAACACTTTGTGGCCAAACCACGTTCTTGTCACGCTCCTTTCTTTGCTTTGATGGCTTCTTGCTTTGGCAAGTTGTTCCTGATATTTCCTGGTTTGCACCTTGCTATTGATATGATGATCAATTGCAAGTAATGACCTTAAGGAAATGGGGGGGTCTGTCATGAGACATTGATTTGGTTGAAATGCAATTGGGTTTGGTGTAACTTGTCCATTGGAAATTAGCACATCAGCGGGTGTGATTTTGAATGGATTGGGAGCAGAATTTAAGTCTGATTTTGTGGTGGAAAATTCAAAATCTGGGTCTTGTTTGCTTACTTGGTAATGCTTATCTTTGTTAGGATCAGGTTGCTCTGGTTGTAGGTCTTGCATTGAAACAAGGCCTGCAAAAGAGAGTGAATCAACTGAAATGCTATCTTCTGCAGCATGAGAGGCAAGTTTGTGTGTGCCCATTGATCATCACCAAATTGGTTATCTAGGTCCGAAACTTATATATAGGTGACAGCATGTTTTATGAGAAAAATTAATCCTAGTTATATGATTGTAAGTAATTATCAAGATTAAATCTAAATGGATAGTGAATGGATGGTAAGTGGCACAGAAAGTATTTGTCTAAACTTGAATGAAGCTACTTGTTGCAATTTTATTGGGAAATAATATTTATTATCTCTCTTAAGTAAGTGATTAGCATGTGAAATCTTATTTGCTGAATTTGAATGGCATGAATTATAAAATAAGTAGCCTATAAACAGTGGGGTCGTTTGGGTGATTGTAGGAGTCATCTGAAGGGTGATGGTGTTAGCAGGATATGTACTAATTGTTATTACTTTCTGTTTTACTTTGTGCTAATTGTTATTACTTTCTGTGAAATGTGAACGCAAAGGCAGGGCCTGCATTCATTCCCTTTGCATTTAACTCACTTTTTAAAGGTTTAATCATAATCAAGAGCTACGGCCCCAACTCGGTGACTCTTGGTATGCTTTGAAAAATATTCAATCCATTCACCAAAAAACAAAATATTCAATTTTCTAATTCGTAACTGTGCTTGTTTCAGTCACCCAATATAAGTAAATGAGCATTTTTTTTAAAGATAAATGTATATAGTTCTATTAGTATTTTCATTAATTAAAATTTAAGTTTAAATAGCTTTTAATCTCTAGTCATCGGCTTGTTTGTATACGGTTATTAAATATTAACAGAATTATGATACTATTAATAAATTTTTACTTTGCAAAAACCTGCGTTTTAAGTAAAATGACCCGTGTCCATAGGAACGATAAGATGAGCTACCCCGAACAAGTTAATCTAAATTCATTTATTTAATTAAACAAATCTAAAGTTAAAGTTAATTATTCAAATAAATTAAAATTAAATTTTATAAAATTGATATAATAATTCGTGAGTAATTCTCACACATACATATTTAAATAATTATAATTTTATTTATTATATTTATTAGACTTTATATTATTATTATTTGTGTGTATTATTTTATTTCCAGAGTTTTATTTTAAATAAATAATTATACTTTTTTTAAAAATATAGTATTTTTAGTATAAAAAATTAACCTTAAGTTATTTTTTATAGATAAAATTATATTTGATTAATGTTTTATTTATTTATTTACTTTTATTATAATAAAATAATAAAAATTTATTTAAATACATTTTACTATTTGAAAATATTGATATCATTTTATAAATATATTATTTTCTTTCTGTTTATTTTAATTTAATATTATTTTATTTTTAAAAATTTTATTAAATATATAGTTTATATAAAAGTTGCACAATATAAACTTATTTTTTATATTTAAAAATTGTTAAAATACAGTCCTTGTTTATAAACTATTATTTTTAAGAATCTTTAAGAGTTGTATGAGAAGGAATATTAAAGAAGAGGGAAAGAATATATTTTCCCTTCCTTCTCTTTCAAAACTTTCAAATAATACTCTTAACTAACTTGATCCATTGAAACATTATTAAACATCAAATTTTAATTACATCCGTAGAAAATACTAACAATAGTAGCTCGTAAAAAAAATAAAAACTTTATCCTAAAAAAAATATAGAACTAAGTGCAAATTGTATAAGTTTTGTAGAAATTAAACATTTAATTAAACTTATTTTTTAATAGAAGTTAGAACTTCGTTTGAGTATTTTATAACAACATCAAATATAAATCTTTTATCAAAATAAAGTTTAATTTTGTTTTAAAAAATAGTACACAAAAACTTTAAAAATTATATCTAGTTGTTATTTTTTATATATAATATACTTTAAAATTACCTTTATATGATTACATTTTCTTAAATTAAAATTTCTTTTTAAATGAAAATTATCAAATAAAAAAATTAAATGTAACAAAATAAATAATTAAATATTATAAAAATGTTGAAAAATTATTTCTCTTGTAAGTTATTAATGATCAAAATTGTATTAATCTCCTTCCATAAAAAATTATGTTGGATAGTGACAATCTCCTTTATCACCGACTTCGACACCTTAAAAAAGGATAACGAGTGTAATGGCATAGAATTAAGAACTGCATTAATCAAAGTCACCCTATCTCCAATTGTTAAATACCTATGCTTTCATGATGCTAACCTCTTTTTAAGGGCATCTAACACACTCTTTCATGCACTAGGCTATTAACTAATGTCAAATGGTTTGTTTCATCGCTGATTTCAATTCTGTATTGAAGTATCATGAAAAGTTTAATAGTTGATCCCAAAAAAATAAAAACTTTAATTAAGATTAACTTCTATTAAAAAAAGTTCAAAGTTTCATCAACCAGTTAATTGAAAGTTAACAAGAAATAAAAAAACTGCGTATTACAGAGAATGCAAAGCTTCATCATTCAAAGGTGCTTTGCATTGCATTTCGCAGGTAAAGGCCAAAATAGTGTTAGTTATGAAACTATTAACTATTTTTTCTAATCCCTTAAATTTTTCTTAAAAAATAATTCTTAACATATGGTATAAGGCATCTTTTATCGAGGAGTCAAGAATTCAATTCTTGCTTTCCCTATTTACTCGAAAAAGGGAAAAAAAATATATTGAGGACGAGCTTAAGCTTTTTAGCGAAGTTGAATCTTTACAAATAGTGCACAAAGTTTAGATAATAACTTATTACCCAAGAGCATAGAACAGGAAATTTGTGTATGGATAAGCTGTGTGATGCTGTTTGATTAACTTCTATCACTAATTGAGTCATGCGCATGCTATGGAATGGCAATATCTATATACCAATTAAGAGCACTAGCCACACTCTTTTTGATGCAACAAGTTCCTTGGTTTAATACGATTTCTTGAGTTAATAAACGTTAAATATATACACAAATGCAAATATCTACTTTGGATATGAAACCAAATGACAGAGTGTGAGTGGGGGGATTTGCTCTGACATGAAATGCCTAACACAATCAAAATTGCATTTTTACCATCCAATAGGGTCAGAAAAATGAAACGGGTAAAACGAATGAAATTCGGATCGAACTTGTGTCATTATTAGCCTTTTGTGAGGCATTACTTGCATTTGCATGGCTTCAAATAGAATAAAAGTTAATCCCTTAGTAGATCAGAAAGTTTAAGACTATGTTACTAACTCTAAACATATCTCCGGGGTTGCCAACTTCCAGGACCCCCAGCCATAGCTTCTAGAGCAACGGGTTTCATAATACAATACCCATTTTTAGAACAACAACTAGGCTTATTGAGTCTTCTAATGTCATGCAGCTCCATTGCTACTCTTCTTTCCAAGTCATGCCTCTCCATTGCTACTCTTCTCTCCAAGTCATGCCTCTCAAATCTTCTCCTTAGATTCTGCCTCCTAACAACAGTACTTAGTTTCTCTTTGTTGTCACATCTTTTGCTACTTATAGGCACTGGCATAGCTTCCAAACCCATCAACTTTGCCACAACCCCAGGTTTGCGCCACACCACACTCTCTCCAGCTAGTGTTGGTGGCAAACACATCATACCCTTTTCAATATCATTCTCTTCTATGAAACTTCTCTCACTGCAAACTGATCTTCTTCCTTCAATGTTCCCAAAAGAAGAACGGTACATAGCATCCCTACCATCAAGTGAAAACCGAGGGTATTGATTCAAGGCATTCCTTGCAGATCTCAATATATCAGAGTTGTTCACACATGACATCCTACCCTTTATGCCTTTATATTCATTAAGCTTAGCCTTTCTAGCCATTTCTTCCTCTAGTTCTAGTTGTAGTATCAAATCTTCTAGTGTTGGAGAGTTTTGCTTTGAAGGGGTGCTTACCTTGCTGGTGAAGTCACCATGGCTGTGGCTGTTGTTGCTGCCAACGGTGCTATTTTGTTGGTTGAGAGTGGAGGTTGAACCGTTGTTGTTGCAAAAAGTTTTGATGCCTTTCTTCATCTTGGCTCCTAAGGAGTTCTTGAGGAGAAAGAAGGGCATGTCCTTCATAAGGGTGTGAGTGCTGAGAAAAAGATGAGGATAAGTGCATGTGCAGATGCATTTGCATGATTCTCAAAATGGGGTTCTCAGTTTTCTTTAGTATAGTGGGAAGATTGCTAGACAAACGCATTGAAACGTGAATAGATTGAATGGGAGCGGTGTGGTGTGGTACTGAATGGAGCATTTTAGTCAAGTGAAATTAGATGAACTTTAATAGTAGTCACGTGATGGGTGAGGAAGCTCTCACAGGTGTTTCATTTCTTTGCTGCAAAGTTGTTTGGGTGTTTATAGCAGAGGATGTAAAAAGACACCTAAGTTGGCATTTTCACTTGGAATTGGTTGGGAGAAATGAAGGTCATTTATTAAAGTTGCGGTGGTAGAATGCATGAACAATGTTTCATCTTTCAATCTTTGCATAAATTAGGTAGTACTTAGTGGTTAGTACTTTGAAAATTCTTCAAGCCGTTGCCCTCATTCAACTTACCAAAAATTTAATTTTGTTCATGTTTGCAAGCTTGCAAGCTTGCCGGTTAAAGTTACTTTACACAACTTGTATTTGTGACTGCAAATCTGAAATTATCCCATGATATACATTAATGAGGAGTTATTTTATAACCATATTGGACATCAAGTCGGTAATAGAAAGCCATAAGATTACTTAAAAGTTGAAATTGCTTAAGTAAATAAAAGTGTATTTATAACAGAGCTAAATTAATGTTTAGAACACAAATTCAAAATAATATTACATCAACTTTTAAAATTAAAAAAATAATTTTTATTTGTAAAAGTAAAAAATTCAACACTCACATTTTTAAATAAAAAACAATAAATACTATCGTCATCATTGTTACTTTTTTCATTAATCTATTTCTACTATCACCACAATTATCATTTATCATTACTATTAATCAATAACTATTATCACAACTTTTATCCCAACAATTATAATTATTATTTACTATCATAACTAATAGTTATTAATAACTAGTCGTTATTATTGACACGGCAATTATCACTATTATTATTATTTTTATAATAATAATAATAATAATAGTAATAATAATAGTCATTACAACCATCATATATACATGGTATCACCACTATTATCACATTTCTATGTTAAAACTTAAACGGAGAAACAAGAAGGAATTTATGTGGTTTGAATTTAAGATATGGCCTTAAATTTTAAATATTAAAATTTACAAAAAAAAAATGAAACTAAAAGTTATAAAATTAAAAATTTAGTTTTAATATGTAAATTATTTAAAATTTAAAACTAATAATCATTCCAAGCATAACCTTAAAAATATGATTTAAGCTATATATAGCAAAAATGATTAACTTGTTTTGATTGGATTTTAATATTACATTCAAAGCAATCTAACATGTTATTTTTATGTTTGATTCAAACAACTTTAGTGTGAAAATCAAACCAAATCAAACAAAGAAAAGTCAAAAACTCCTATTATTTAACAAGAGAAAAGAAAAATAAGTAAAATATGATATTATATGCATAAATTAAACTTATACAATTTATATAACACGTTTTTGTTCATCATATCAGTCATCTTATCTAAAATTCAAATCTCACGGCAGATCTCTACAGCAAGATTGTAACCATTGGTTTTAATATTGAATGACTAAGATGGATAAATCACATACTAGTTTCCCCATTTTAATGTTTTATTAATCTATTCTTTTTTATTATTTATTGATCTAGTTTTTGTTAATTCATCTCGGTCATTTAATATAAATCAATTGCCAAAATTTTGCTAAACAGGACTAGAGAGAGATTCATTACAGAGAATTCAAATTCATCTTATCTCATATTTCTCTTTCTTCCTTTTTTTTATTTTTTTTTAGACTATAGGAATTTTCCACCGAAGGAAACCCTTCTTATTTGTCTTTTACTTGTATTAATTGTTTTATATTTTTATTGTATAACTATATTTTTTTAAAAAAATATATAATTTTGTGAAAAAATTTGAAGAGAAAAAATGTGTAATCTATTTAAAAGACAAATATATTCCTTTACAATATAAAAGAAATTTTTTGCCCCATAGATTGAAGATATCTTTGGAATTATGCTTTTTTTTTTTTATCTCTCTTATATACCCTATTCTCTTCCCAAAATAAAGAGACTTCAATTTTATGTTTTTCCTATATTATATTTTTCTACTTCGTTTCTCCCGTTCCAAACCGAGTGGGAAAAAAAAAAAAAAAAAAAAAACCTGCGTTCAGATTTCGTAGAATTTGATTGAGTCCAAATTTAATTTCAAAAGTATCAAAGATATTTAGAATAATTTATGAAAATTTTATTTCAACTTCTAAAAATAATTTATATGTTTCCTAATATTTTAACTTATTTTAATAAAATTTATAACTAAAGTTATCTTTAAATGCATATGGTACTGATCGAGGAATCAAGGAAAAAGGATAAATATAAATTTAAGCTATAAAGACAATTTTCAATCAAAGCATTTTTTCAAGAGTTATAGCAAAATTATATGTTTAACCAGTGTAAGTCTAAAACTTTTACATTCAATCTTAATCATTTATCTAACTTATATTTATCGACTATATTTTATAACACTATTTGATTTATACTTAATTTCTCTCTCTCATGGACCTTATTTAATGTGTTATAATTCATTACAACCTAACACCTTTGTAATAAACTTACACAAATAGTATGACTTATTAATTTATTAGTATTTTTATAAAAAAAATATACAAATAATTTAATAATCAAAAAATATAATTTTATATTCTATAAATAATTATATATAATAAAACTATTTTAAATAATAATTTAAAAATAATTTAATATAGTTTTGTAATTACAAATAGTATGTTTAAAATTATAAATATTTAATAAAATTAAATAAATTTAAAATATAAGTTATTTAAAATAATATTTTTATTATTTAGGGTAAAAAATATTTAATATATATTAATAATCATAAATTAAGAGATAAAACTCTTAATAAATATTTAAATTTAAAATAATTTTTATAAATATAAAAATAGATATTTATAAAAATAAGTAACATATTTTATTTTTAAAAATTGAAATATAATTAAATAAAAAAATAAAATTATAACAATAAAAGATAATATAGTTCAAGTTAGTTAATTTCAACATGTACAAAGTGTGGAAGAGTAATTTCAATAATATTTCTAATTTAAAATAAAATAAAATAATTTTTTATAAATATAAAATAAATATTTATAAAAATATATAAAATTATAAGAAAAAAATAAGTAACTTTTATATATTTTCTAAATATTTATTTAATGAATTTTAATTTATTACTTACCTTTGTAATCTTTTAGCAAGAATTAAGTTAAGATGAAAAGGATTTTAAGTTTAAATTAGAAATTGTTTAATACCATGGGTTTCTAAGTTTAACTATCTGAAATCAATTTTACAAAATAATAAAAAATCATTAATAAAGTTATACACAAAATATAAGTTAGGTTGTTATCACATGTATCATCCATAATGTGACAATCTTGAATTGAATAAGATTACTATAAGTTACAAAAATTTCTCTAAGAATTTTAACACATATCATATATTATTCATAATTACAAAGTAGTTTACTAAGTTAAAAAAATTATCAAACTACTGTATGATAAACTATTTTCTATCTCAGCATATGTTTGACTTTAAGAACCCAATGATTAGGATGGGATAAAAGAGTTGATAAATGCAGTATAAGATAAGAGTATGATATACTTCTATTATATATATAAAATGGAAAATATGTAAGATAATTTTAAGAGAGAGAGTGCTAGAGGAAAAAGAGAGAAATAATATAATAAATTAAGAGTAACTTTAGGGAAGACTATTGCTATTATTTTCTTTCCTTTTTGATCCAATCATATTTTTAAGATAAAAATCACAGTAATCTAATAGAATAAGATATACAACAAGATAAATTAATTTTATCCATATGACTCAAAAATCGCTTGATTAAGATTATATATAATATGCTATCATATTTTATTTACCTTTTCCCTGCCCACCAAACCAGTAAAATATATAAGGCAAAAGCAAAAATAATAATGTTAAGATAAATATGCAATAAAAAAAAAGATAAAAAAATAATAATATATAAAGAGATATTAAAAATAATGCTTATTTAAAAGGATAAAGAAAAATAAAGACTTTAAAAAAAAAGTAATCTAATAGAAGGATTTTTATCGAACCGAATAATGTATTAGATTCATTTAGTCAACTTCGTTTAATAGGATAAAACTTTTGTTGTCAGCTACCAGTTTCGTGACTGCCTTTTACGGTAACATTAAAAAGAAAATTGAACACAACTTCTTGAGATATATATATATGCTTGACTCAAAATATTTAAAAATATTTTAGTACCCCGGAAGTTTGTAAAATGTCCCTACTTCTGTGGTTCTCATTTCCTGTGTGCTAAAGAAATAAAATAAAAAAACTTCAATCCCCTTTTCTGTAACATGGGGAAGATATTAAAAAAATGATAAAACTGACTGCTCTGTATAATTATGCACTAAACAAAGAACGGTTCAGGTGGCTGCTCATTATTCAGCTCAATCCAACTGTGTCCGAGTTCCGCTACTTCAACTTATAAGCAAAGAGCTGTAAATAACAAAAAAGAGTTAGATAACGAGTGAATTTTAACACTTAACAAAGTTAACTTTGAGAATTTACCAGATGACCACAGCTGACATTATGATAAGTCCCAAGCTCAGCCAAAGTTTCTTGATCTCCAAGAACACGCAATTTATCTTTGTCTGGCTCAACGGTTCTTTTTCCTCTTATAATGCTGGCTTGTGGCTCTTCTACCAAGCATAATTCAACTTCATCAGCCAGCAGCATAGTTTTAATTGCAACAAACTGTAGATAGAAAACCAATTAGAATCAATACGAAATAAACTACAAAGAAATGTCTTAAGATGGACAGAGAATAACCTGGCACAGTTGCTTGACTGACAAGGTAGGCTTGCAGTAAAGGTATGGCTCGTGCAAACTTGGTATCCTTTGCTCATCCAAAGAGACAAGCATGAGGGGGATTTCCAACTGAAATAGCGTGAGGCCAAATCACCATTTGTATCATTGCGGAAAACCAATTGCTCAAGCAAAGAATAGTAATTGCAAAAGAATGCAAAATTATAAAAACTTGGAACTTAGCAACCTTTTAGACGAATCTAGGACCCTGATCTAAATGTTAGCACAGGATAACCAGGTCGAGCGACCTTGAAAGCCATAGCTTCTGATAGTTTTTAGTTCATTAGTATTTACAATCACTACTACAAACAAAATTACCTTGTCATCATTTACTTCTGAGTTTCGAAGATGATCAACTAATTTGGAGAGGCGACTGTTCCTGGCATTCTTGCCATTGGCTCGGGTGTGACTCCGGTGTCCATTCTTTCCCCATGCAAGTGTACCAGATGGACTTGTGATTTCTCTAGTCACTTCTGGAATATTTTCATCACCAGTTCCATCTCCATCAGCGGTAGCAAAGTGATGAGGAAATTGTGTTTCTCGTTCTCTACCTCTTCTGCCTCTTCTTGACCTGGTTTCTGTTGGCTCATCACCAGAAGATGAGTCCTTCCTCGCATCATTATCATTCACATACTCATTTTCATTGGATACCTGAAGTTCACCAGCATTTACGAAGCTTCTTCGTCTCCTCAGATGTGAAGTTCGATAGTTACCTTGTGATCTCCTCACAAAAGCTATAGTTGTTGCTTTGGCATTCCGTTTCTTACTCAATGCTTCTGTTTGACGTCGGAGAGTCTGGGCAATGGAAGCTTGGACCTTCTTAAAAGAGATAAACCTTTAATTATTCATTTTACAAGCCAAAGTGTGTCTTACAGATAAAAAATAACATTAATAAACATCCATATTTGAAAAATGTTTTGAGTGAAGTCACACCTGATTATTGTGAATCACCTCATCTGCATGCAAAGCCAATTCCTAGGCCAAAACCTTGATAATTAGTTTTTCATTCAGATAAATACATTTTCACTCCAAAATGGAATATATCCGTCTTACCTCCTCCTCGTACTTGTCAATATTTGGATAGAGAGCAGCAATCAAAGCATCATAGTTTGGGTCATCTCTGAGAGAGCGTCGGCTAGCACAATGCGTACGGCAAGCAGGGCATTCATTGTTACTGCAATAAAACCAGTCCAGACATGTTAGAAAATATAAATGTAATAATTTGCAGCACGGCAAGCAGGGCATTCATTGTTACTGCAATAAAACCAGTCCAGACATGTTAGAAAATATAAATGTAATAATTTGCAGCAAATAAACCAAGATTATGCCAGCTATAAATATGTGATATAATATTGTAGATGGCAGTTTGAGGACAAACCCAAGGCGCATGGATTTGTCTATACACTCTCTGCAAAAGCGATGCAGGCATTCCATAACAGTTCTTGTTTTTCGTATGATGCCTACACAAACGAAATCAATCATTTTTTACTATATGATCCAGTAATTAAGAAAGCAAATAAAAAATGTTTATGATGCTACATCTGACATATATTGCAGTATTGCACAATGTCACTAAAAGTTCATCCATTCAGCTATAATAACAACAAAAATTATCTAGACAATCCACACATTGGCAGCAGTAACTACAGACAACATAAAATCTGAAGTAGCCTATAGGTGATGGGTTTATTCTACATTTAGCTATCTCTTTTAATGTTTCATATTCAGGATGTCATTGATGTTATGAATTCATTCCCAATTAACACACAACACTGTTGGATATACACCATTAGGGAATTTTCCAAATGATACTCTACGCACCATGCATGTCAAAAGACAATAACAAGAGCCAATAAAGCACACATAACATACATGCAAGGGCTTGCAACAGATGAAATATATTCCTGTCACATTTCACAGTAAATCCAGAAAGAAATAAAAGTTTTGTTATCTGAATCTTACAATTGGTTTTTGCCAACATGGAAACTGTCCAGCACTTTCTTAATTTGATATTATGCAGGCAGACAGTCATATAGAATTGAATAGGCGATCACAACTTAACAAGTATTTTATTTTCTATTTTCTAGAATCAAAGAACTGTTTTATTTTTGTAAAACAATTAAATAACCATTTAGTCCAATTATACTACATGAATCATGCATTTTGAAAACATAATGTAAAATTATAAACAGGTTAGTGATCGGGTTCTTTTACATCATTACGTGCATAATACACCTTTTATGTTCATTTACAAGTGTGTAATTTATGCCAACAAGCTGGTTTACGACTGACACAGTTAATGAACCAATTCTAAGTAATGGACTTTTTACAGAAGTAGCCAATGAAATAACTACAACTATGATGGACGTTAGATTCATCATAATTTCTTCAGATAATGTAATGAGTAAATGGTAAGTTTTTATTTATGTCAAACAAATCTCACAGATTGTAAGTCCTTTCTAAAGCTTGTGGGATGCCTTCTTAACCTTAGAATAAGGCTACCTCCTCTTTTTGTAAACCTTATAGAATTATAGTACCAAAAAGAAAAGGAAAATTTCATAGACTTAAACAATGTGAGATACTCTCACCCAGAAATTATGTTAATAAGCAGATTAATGCCTTCAATCCTAATCAAGATGACACTATTCCCATTATCACCACAACATAACAGGTGTATTTGAACCCCCCATTTTCCTTTTATTTTTTTCCCTCAAGTTCAATCTTTACGAGCATCAAGCTTAAAGAGGTTACACACACTTCCGAATTTTCATGTGCATCATGGGGAAGGGGGAATACAAGAAATCTAGCATCAGTTGTAAATTACATACCTAGGCAGATAGGACACTGAACTTCCTTGCGTATGTCTGACAATTTTACAACCACAAATCTGTAAAAAATAACCAATACAGTGCTGATTGCAAATATTAATATCTAATATTTTATAGAAATGGATCATTGTGAAATGCCAAATTCTCTAGTCATTGCTCCAGATCAACATATTATGCTAAGAAAGTGGCAGTCTTTAGAACAGATAGTCAGATACAGTTCATCTTAATTTTATCTATTAAAATAATGGTAATCCTAGGATGGGGAAAAGATGATGCCAGAAAAGAAGGATCTGAAAATGACTTTCAGATGATTTTGCTGAATTCTGATATATACAAACCTCTCTACATAAATCATATGAAGGATAAGAGGAATTATAAGAGTTTCATCGTAAACTCAAGAGTTTTCATCCAGATCTGAGTTCAAAAAACATTACATTATGCATGCTTCCAAGTGTTTCACATTCTTAGCAAAGTAGCATGCCCATGAAAATGTCATTCAAGTCTAATGTGAATAAATAGGTAAACCAAAAAAATTCAGTATCAAAGTTGATGTAATTTATAGCCAAGATAAAATGCTTCTCGAAGAATAAGTTCACCCCAAGCGAAAACAACATTTACCTAAAAAAGGTTTCACATGAATTTAGTAAAAATACAGCATATTATATTGGATGGAAAAAGATGGTTGTCTTTTTCCCTCGTAACACCATGATGCAATCGCAATACACAAGATAAGAATGACTGAGAACGCTTCCAGATCGCAATTTTCTTAAGATGAAACAAAGTTGATCGATTGTGCTGTAGTTTCAGATCCCAAACTGTTATTAGAAATTTTTCATTTTATCTCTTTTAAAAATCATATACAATACAATCATTCCCCAGCAACCACAACCAAGTTTTTTTTCACGTAAACAAATGCATAAATGCAGCAACAAGCAATCCAGCAGCATGCACAAATAGAACACATGCTAAAGTCACCAAAAGTAACCATCCTTCGTCAAAGGATTCAACACCGAACTCCACCAACTATTCACAACCAGAAAAACAGAAGAAAGACAACGCTCCACTTATAAAAAAGCAAAAACCATAGCAACACTCTCGAATACCTCCGAAAGACATGAGAACCGTAGACACGAAAACAAAACATGTCAAGCAGAGTCGAAACCCGTTTTCAAAAATGAAATGTGAAAATTCCAGCAGCAGCATAATCGATTAAAATATAAACACGGAAAATCACAAGGTAAACGACTGAACAAATGCGGAACGACGAATCAGGTTGACGTACTCATCCTTGTCTTCGTCGCTCAAGGAACCGCTTCGATCGGATTCTGAAGAAAACAAATAAGCATTAAACGAAAAACAGTAATCACGAACGGCACACGTGAATCATTGAAATCAAAATGAAAAAACAGAAGCAGCAGTTAAGCAACTCCAAACGCAGAAATTCAGAGAAAAACGACACGTACCAACTTCATCTTCAGGTTGCTCATGGTCGTTTCGCAGAGCAACCACCTCTGAAGCGTCGTTTGAGCGCCTCTGCGCCGGCATTGTTTTTGGTCCAACCAAGCGAAAACGACGAAGTAAACCGCCAAAACGCTTGGCAGGTCGTTGTGGCAACGAACGGAAACGAAATGACGGTACGGTTGCGAAGTGTGACTTCAACGACGCCTTGACCTTAGAGAGAGGGACAGAACGGTGAAGTCCTTGATTTTTCAGACGGTGCTTTATTGATAGTGTGACTCGAAACGTAGTGTTAGTGTAGCGAATGGGAATATGACACGTAGCATGTTAAGGACAGATTCGTACTTTTAGGAGTGAAATATTTTCGATGATTTTAGCATCTGAGGAAGTTTAGGTGTCGCTCTCGCTGTACATGAGCGCACTTGATGATTGCTCTCTATTTTTTTATTATTTTCTTTGGCTTGGCTGGCGGGGTGAACATCGTGATACTTGGCTTCCGAGGGAAATAGGTTCAGTGCCATTTTCTGTCTTCGTCTCTAATTTTGCTTTTAAATGGTAATTTTCTTTTTTTTTCTTTCATAATATTTCTGATCGAGTATAGTTTCTCCATCCCAGTATTTTAACCGTTATATTTGTTAATACTTCAATTTGAAATTATAGATTAAATTAGTATCATTTTTATCAATTGATCTACGTATTTAAGTAAATGATAATTTAGAGGATATTTTCTTATTATTAATTATTTATAAAATTAATTTTATCTGATTTTTGTTTGCCCATGAAAAGTCATTTTAACTTCAAATAATGGAACTGCAATAAAAAAACAATGAAAATTTTAACCTTTATAGTTGCTTATTTAATTTAAATTATTGAAATGTTTAATATATCTGTCCTATATCAATCAATTTAGAGCTAATTTGGTGGTGATTTTTAGTTCTAATTTTTTTTAAAATTAAATCAAAATCAGTTTTCTGTTTTATAGTTTTGGCTTTAATTTTTTATATTAATTGTAATTTTTTTAACCTTACATGAGTGTTTATTAAATTATATCATATATATTTTAATTTTAAAAAATAATAAATATTAAATTGAAAATGCATAAGGTAGAGAAAATCACTTGACATAATAAAAAAATTCCAAAATTCTCATATTTAAAAATTAGTGCTCACAATTTATATAAAGATTAATTATTTTTAAATGTTATTATTAAATTTAAATCAAATATATACAAAAACACTTACTATTTGGGTTTATTTATTTTTAAATTAGTTTTCAGAGTAAGTTAAAAATTATGATTCAAATACATTTTAGTTTAAAGCATTTTATTTAAATTTATATTTAAAAATAAAAAAATAGAAGCTTATAAAAGATTTATAAAGCGTGTGTTTAATTAAAAATATTTCATAACGCATATTTTTGCTTCATGAGAAATAGGATTTAAAAATCTAATAAAATGATTTTTTTACTTTTGAAAGTATTAAACAAATAGATTTGATTCTTATAAAAAATAAATAAATTTAGTTTACCTCTGTCAAGTGTTATGTTATTTTATAATTATTCATAAGTATTTAATTTTATTAACCTAACCTTTAGATAAGTGCTGTATATTAATACACATCATGCATATTAAACTATAAATAAATTAGATATTTATATATATATGTCTAATTTTATAATGAAGCTTTATTTAATTTAAAGTATATATATATATATCAGACGTTAAAATTAAGCTATACGATAAATTATTAATTACTTTTTAATTTGTTTAAACTTTTTTCAAACTTGATTTTTTTCAAAAAGAACTTTAAATTTACCACTTGACTTGATAAAATTAAATCTTTTAATTATTACTATTTACAAAAAATATGGATTAACTATTTTAAATAAAAATATAATCATAATAATGATTTTAAATATTTTTTCTAATATACGATACATTTTGACAAAAGAATTATATTTATTATTTTCATTTGTTATAAATTTAATATTTATTGTGATCGTGAAAATATTAAAATGTTAATGTTTCTATAATTTTCTAAATTTTATTATCTAATTATGCTCTATTTGATTAAATATTACTTTATTTTATTTCTAAAAGTTTACAATTGTCTGATTTTTTGTTTTAAATTACTATAATACTATTTTATATTTTTATCATTTTAAAATACTTTTATATAAACTTTTTTAATTTTTTTAAATAGTATAGAGTATAAATATTCTTACTTGTTAAAAATTAAAAATAATTGCATGGGTATATATTATATTCATGTTTAAATCTAATTAGTACAAGTATTAAAAATATTAATGTTATCAAGTAAATGGGGACACCTTAGAATTTATCATAAAGGTTTGAAAACTATTTTAAATGTTTAATCATTAAAAAAAAGTAAATATTAATACAGTTTAATTTGAGTACGTTATTGTTAGTATATAAAGTTTCACACTCAATCAATTAAAAGTTAGCATAAATATAATTTTAAACTAATGTATAAAAATTAAAAATGGTCAATAATGTGACAATTCATTATTGTCTGATATCATACAATTTTTTTATAAATGTATTTTAATTAAATGATATAAATAACATATATATTCTCAAGCTTTAATATTTTTTTAAAATTGTAACTATCTATTTAGTAAATATTATGCAATAAAATAATAAAATATGAGAGTTGAATAAAAAATAACAATAATAATAAACGATAGACTCTTGTTATATCATATCTTTGATATATATTAAAATAGATAACAATACTACGTTATCCTATCCATTATTTATCATAGATAAAAAATTAAAATTAATAAATAAAATATATTTAAACAACAAAATTTGTTATCACATTAATATAATTATTAAAAAACAAAAACATTTTTATGTACAAATAATATTTAATTTTTATATTGAATTGTGATATTTTTCTTTAAAATGTTTTTACAATTAAAATTAAAAAATTTTGTCATAAATTATAATTAAAACAAAAATATGTTATTAAAAAATAAAATTATATTTTATAAAATGAGTATTTTATATGAAAAAATATGTTTTTTAAAATTTATTTTATGAAGAATATATTTTTTAAAATAATTATAATGATTACTTGAGTAATGAATATCCAAATTTATTTTTAATTAATTTAATTTAAATTTACTTAAATGAATAAATTAAAATTTAAAGCATTTATTAGCACGGTCAAGATAGATAGAAAATGATAATTATTATATCTATTTTTAATGAAATATTTGTTTAGTCAAAAATATGATTAATTATTTTGTTAGCTATCATGATCTATTAGACTAGTGTAACAGGATTGGATTAAAGAAAATAAAAAGTATTTGTCATCCTCAAATATCTTATTATATTTTGATATTTCTCTTTCTTTTATGTCTTCTCCTTCTCTCTTCTCTATTTTTATATATTTTCAAATTAAAAAACATTTTCAATTATTTATATATTTTAATAAATTAAAAATAAAAACTTATAAAATTTATATATTTAATAAATATAAATAAAAATATTCTCACTCATATCCTTTTTATCATACGTCATTTCAATCTCAATAGTCAATGTCTTTGACAAACACATGAAGGGTGCAATGGGAAAATCTCCTTTTTTATTCCTGGATCTCCTTGTTTCCTGTCTAACCTTGAGAATTGAGATTTACCAGCTCTCCTTCATGGCGTACATGCCAATTTCCAACCTTTTTTTCTATCTAAATTTAGTTGTTCATATCCATTTTCGGTTTAGCCTAATTTTTTCTCCTTTCTTGGGTTTCGGCGATGCTTGGTTATGCTCAGAACCATTGTCATTGTTTCTACATTACTTGTTCCTTTGATGGGTCATGCTAATGAATCAAAATTTTGGAGATTTCTCAAATAGCTTTTTGTCCATGCATTCAATTTGAAGTGATTTCTTCTTTTGTCCAAAAGAAAATATAAGTGAAAAAGGCTGAAATTACATTTTGTTGCGGCCATTGACACACTGCTGCAAACATGGTTTGGAACACTCACGTCCTGTTCTTGTTCAGACATCATACGTTTTCCTCATTCCTTCTGTCACTGTTATCTTTTTCACGTTGCGCACCACTCAGTCCAAAACTTTGAAATTCGCTTAGAAAATGAAAATGAAATTCCATTTTATGTGAGAATTGGAGCGAATTCTATATTTCTTAAAAAAAGTATTAAAATTATATTTTAATAAAATATGAAAAAGAGTATGAAGTTTGAGTTAAAAAAAAGGAAATAAATTATCTCATTGGATAACTAGCCAGTAACTTGCTCAGTGTACAAATATTTTATTTTAAATATATATATATATATATATATATATATATATTCAATTTAATAACTAAAAATATTAACTTTTATTTAAATTTTTTTAACTTAATTCTATATCTACAAAGAATATATATTCAAATGATAAAGATGTAATAAAATCAATTTTAAAATATAATTTATCTTAAAATAATATAATATAAAACATAACGGTCCAGACTCTTAATTTTATAATTAAGAGTATGGACCGTTATGTCCTATTATAAAAAAATTATTACTATTTAAAAGTAAAGGTAAAAAGAAATATTAAAGCAATAATCTTTTATTTAAATTTATACCATAAAGTCAAATAAAAAAGTAATTTATTACAATAAAAGATATTTCTGTATAATTAATTCACAATTTTTCTTTATTGAAATATATATTATTTAAATAGAATTATTTTTTTAGTAATAAATCCTAATATTTGTAATTAAATCAGATTTATTACCAAAATAGTATTAATAAAAAATATTAAAAAATAATAATAACCTCTATGGAATTATTCCGGTCATGTTGGTATTGACGTTCCACGAAACGATTAGCACAAAAATATTTTATATTTTATTAGTTTTTTAGGATTTTATAAAGACGATCTATTTTATTAAAATATGATAGAAATTATTCTTAAAGATAGGAAAAATACATTTAATTTATTTGATAAGAAAATCCATAAAATATATCAATTTTGAATTATTTTTAAAAAATATATATTCATGTCATTAATTAGGTATTTATATAAAAAAATTATTTCACGTGAACATCTTAAAACATATTTAACCGCAGAACAGTTTCTTAAATGAAAAAGTATAAACAAACAATCGAGCTTGTTTTTAATGTGCTTTTTAATATAAAAAAAATATATATATATAAGAAATCACCTTTTTTGAGTACAAGATAAAATAAAAAAACTGTAAAGAAAAGGTGATAAAAATGGCCTTATACGATCAACAAATAAATTTGTTTATATGTAAATATTTGTGCATATCTCATGTCACTTATCATATAAGCTCGCCACATATGCAAAATTTTAATTTTAGTCCATCCCAAATTAATTGTTACAAGTGGAACTGGTTAGAGTACGTTTATTTCTTATTTTAAAAACAGATTTTTGTTTTTAAAAATAAACGATAATACTTCAATTATTCAATCGTTTTCTTCTCCTCCTCTTACATTATTAAGGTAATTAATGTCCTTAACATAAAAAAAAAATGCTATACTATTTGTACTAAAACATATACAACTAACATAAATTACTTGCGTTAATATTACTATGCATGGTAATAAATATATCATTGAAATTGAATATTATTTGTACTAATTATTATTATTATTCATTTCAATGGTATTTTTATATTTTAAAATTAGTGATTGTACCCATATAATATACAGATAACATATAATATAAATTTTAATTTTAAAAAATATTATTAATTACAATATCAAAATCTTTATTGATTATAATAGAGACATTATTTCATCCGTTATCTAAAACATAAATTTTAAGATTGCATTGATTAGAAGGAAAGATATTCAAGTATATAAATTTATAACATTTGAAAATGAAGCCTCTAGTAAATTACTTATAGAGTTAGAAAATTTGACGAATGATATTTAAGCTTTATTTAAGAGTTTAGAGAAAAAAAATAAAAAAAAATTGAAAAGAGAATGAAATAAAGAGAAATAAAGAAGAAGGAAGTTAAACTCTTCCCTTATTTAGATGTTTAATATTAAAAAAAAAGAATGATAAAAGTATTTAATTATATAAATAATTTTAAAATAATATTTTTAATTTTTAAAAATTGTCACTTGAAAAACTAATATTTTTTAAAATAAAAGTTAAAAAAATTCTATTTGTGAAATAATATAAAATAGTGGAAGAAAGAAAAATCTCAAAATGAAAAAACTTAAAAAATAAGCATTTAAAATATTTTGATTTTTGAAAAGTTTAGAAAAAATTCTAAAATTTGTCTTTCCAAAATAAAAAATTCCTAAATAAGATTAAACTTTTTTTAATATATTTTTCTCCCTTTCTAAACTTAATTTTCAAATATAACCTTAAAAAATAAAATTTATTATCTCAAAAGAAAAGTCGAGTGTTATTCTTATCGTTTCCATTACCTATATTTAAAGTTTTAAATTTTTGTTGTTATATAATTTTAAGTTTATAGTACATTCAACTTATAAGTATGACAAAGTCTAAGCCCGTAATTTTGTAAAAATTATAAGTACTTAAAAAGCTTAAGAAAATATCTTTAATTTTTTTGATAATTAATACTAATTTTAGGATGTCCATGTTGTGTGTGTTTAATAATATAAGTTCATAATTTATTTAAAAAATTGTAATTTATTTTTTTAGTCAATTAGTTATCAGAATTGTTCAATGAATAAAACACTAGAATGATATTACAATTTTTGGAAACTAAATAATATAAAATTATTTAAACTAATTTCTAATTTAAAAAATTAATTGCTAATATTTTTTATTATTTATCTTTACATTTTAAATAATTTCTTCTAGTTATTTGATTATAAAAAAAATATCATAAAATGATTTAAATTTTATGCAGTTGTTTTCTTAATTCGTCTATTCTTTAAAATTTTGGTTTCATTATAAAATGTGGGATATGATATCCTTACAATTTTTTAATAAAAATTTATTCAAAAATACAAAAATTATATCATTATTATTTTTTAATTATAAAAATACATGTTAAAAATTAAAAATTATTTTATCTTTTTATATTTTAGACTTTAGGGGTTAAGTTATTATAATTTGTCTTCGGTAAGAATACCATTTACCATAAAATATTGAAAATTTTATATATTTATAGTAGCAAAAATAAAATAATAATAAAAGGCATAAACTTATCCCTAACTTTTGTTTTTTCATAAAAAGAAAAGTGGTTCCCATTTCATCCAGTCATCCTCAATAGTAAAATTTTATTTTTGCCTTTGCCAGTGGCCTTGTTTACGTGTTTCTGGCGACAGTGGCATTGACGCATACACATTCTGGCAGGGAACGATCCGAACATGGAGACACTTGTTATGGACAGCAACAACGTAGTACCTATGTAGCTGATTACTCCTATTCTATTATTCTAGCGAGTGAGAGACATGGCGGAGATTTCAACTTCGGGGTACAAGGATTACGTGGCAGGCTTGCTTGCTGGTGTTGCCGCTGTAGCCATTGGCCATCCCTTTGACACCGTAAAGGTTCGATCTTTATCATCTTTTATGGATCCCTTTGGTTGAAATTAGAAACTCGGTTTGATAGATTATTTGATAACTGTTCCTATATATGTTACCCTTTTTGCTGTCCTGCCCAGTGCTTTTTGAGGTCCCTTGAAAAACCAGTGTTTGGTACTTTGGAATACGGGGTTGAAAACTAAAATGGGGTGCTGTAATTTTAATCTCAGTTTTTCAAAGGGGTTCAATTTTCATTTCTATTTTTGCCAACTGACACTTAATGTGGTTAGTGTTATATAGTTTTGTCTATGTTCATGGTTGATTGAGCAATTAAAGATTTGTTCTGATTTTTCTGTGTCTTTGAACTTTTAAGTGGGGATATTATGTGGGATTGTGTTGAGCTTGTTGGTATTACTTAACTAGCTTCATCATCATGACCAAGTCTACTTTTCTAGTCCTTTTAGTTTTAAGTGACAGTTGATGGTTTTTGCATAAGAATCAATTGTAAGTTTGTAACATATGTGCTATCTGGGGACGGTATGGTGATTTGGAGCTATCACTAATTTACGTGTTTATTTCCTGTCAGTGCTTTATGGTTGACATTTCCAACAATTTGAGCATGTATATTAAGTAGTATGATAGCAAATAATGTAGAAGACAATTGTGGCCCTGTGTTCAAGGCTCCCACCTAGTGGGTCTGGGAAGGTAGATGCGTGCAACTTTACCCTTACTAGCGAAAAGGTTGTTTTGAGGATTTGGACCCATGAACACGGGGTCAGAAGGTAGTAACCCTATCGTTATGGCAACGCGCACCCTCATAACAAATAATAAGAAAGCAGTAATACTTTCCTCATCTCTTTGGCACATGCAATGTTGTTACATTGCTTTCCTTTATCAAATTGTTTGCATTTGTGGTAGAAAATGGCAGTTAGGCTCTCCATGAGAGGCACTCATGAACTTTCAGATAATATTATCAGTCCAAAGCCTTGATGAAGAGCCTAAACCCCTCAGACGAGCAATCAAGCTTTTCTAAATGCAGTTATGATTTGGCTCTTTCTCTTCTTTTTGGCTTGTAGCATAAAGTACTAAACAGGAAGAGCAGAAATATCGAAGTTCAATGTTATCCAAACAAAACTATCATGATTAAATGATATGCGAGATATGAGCTTAAAGTGGTACTGGTAAACAAGACAGCAGAAATAATGAAGCTTAATGTTATCCAAACAATACTATCACGGTTAAATGATATGTGGGATACATAGTTAGCCTTTCATTTATAGTGGATGATAGCAGCTATCGAGGCGATGTGGAGCAGCGCTACAGATTTTCCATCATGGAGCATTATGCTTTCATGGCAGTTGCTGGTGCTTTCACGGCCAGAATTGTAGGTTTTTGCGGTTCTAGTGCAGTGTACCCAACAAATGTTTGGGCATGAGTTTTTGCCCTCCAAACAACACTGTTTTGGGTTTTTTTAAGCGTAAATGGATCTCTCTCCCCCCCCCCTTTTTCGGGACTTGTTCCCTCTCCTGCTCAACAGTCCGTGCTCTCTCTCATCTTTGTTCATCTTCTTTTCTCTCTTATGGAAAATCCATCATCTTCAGCGGCTTTCTGGTTGCTTTTCAGTCAAACACATCTGTTCTGCTATGTTTTTCTACACTGCTGTTTGTTCTATGTTGATTCTCTGCTACAGTGTCATGAAGAGCAAACAATGAATTCATCTTAGAAACAAAATCACAGGACCAATGTTTCATTCCCTTGTATATTTTGCCAAACTAAAGATTGCACCTATGTTTTTTTTGTTGATAAACACTGCATAGTGCATATGCTACGAAATATGAATTTATGAGTAATTTTTTAGCATTATATATGTAATATGTGCATCAGGTACAGATTATATATCTATATATAGGTTTTGACAAGTTTTACATTGGCTGCTTAAGGCCTAAATAAATCTCCTCCTTTACCCAAACTTGGGACCATATGCTGAGTTTCAAATTATATATCTGTATCAAATATTTTTAAATATCAATCATCTTGCTATCTGCTATATTGCTATAACGTTTTAGGGGTTAGCCTATGCGCAGCTATTCAATATTAATAATTATGGTGGGATGTGTGCTGGAATAGGATTATAGGATCACAATGACTTGTAGCTGAATAGGGAATGATGGTAACTCATATTTGTGAGATATAATCTGAATTTAGAGAAATTTACAGTTCCTTAATATTTTAACACTACTCATATATTGCATTTTGGAAGGGGATAATAAGCTGTGAAAAAGTTGAGAAATTTCTGAAAATTTTAATTTTATGCATCAGAGACACAAGCATACCTTGTGTTGAACAAATTTCCTAGATGATGATTCTCCTGTTGATGTGAGAAATGGGTCATCTTTTTGGTCATTTTCTTTTGGCCCATGATCTTCTACGCTGTTTTTATCAATCTTACTTATGTTTATATCTATTTGAAGTTCTTTCATGTTTGCTGGTGACTTCAGGATGATTTTTACTGTGTCAAAGTTATATATTTAATTACATATGATTTTAAAATTTTAGCCTATCTTTTAACTATTCTTTCCCCATTTTTCAGGTGAAGCTGCAAAAACACAATACAGAAGCACACGCGATTCATTATAGAAATGGATTGCATTGCACTGCTAGGATACTGAAGACAGAAGGAGTATGGCTGTTGACCTTTAACTTTCAAAGGATAAAAATGGGTTATTCATTCAAAGTCCATATAGGAATATAAAATAATACAGAGCTGCTAATTTGCATCATTGCTGGTTGATATGCTTTATTGTGTATAAAAGCAGGAAGCCTGGTCAATTGTAGTTTATCATAATATAGGTGTGTTGTGGGGCCATTACTTGATTTCATCTGTTAATTTATATTGAAAATTCTATTGATTAAGTGACCGTCACTTCATTTAATAAGTAATTATAAAGTTATTTGGTCATCTGGTATTTGGTTTATTTCTGGAGTGTGATTGTTGAGGCACACTAAATGTTGCTTTGACAGCTATCTTCCTAGAGAAGAAAGGATGTCATGTACCTGGATATTAAACTTATAGAACTTAATGACTATGACCATGTTTTCTTAATTATTTGTAAAATTCTGGCTATGCTTAACTTCAATTATTCTGTACAGTCAGAAGGAAAATATGTCCAAATGTTACATTTTCTTCCCTATCCTGTTCCAGATGCTTTCTTCTCAACTGAAAGTGTTTCTCTCTTCCCAGCACCCATATATTACCCCTTGAATTTTAATTGATAAAATGAAATTAGAAAATGGTGATGCTAAACTTGCATGTTTTCCACCTTGAATTTTTAACTTTTTCTTTTATGATGAATTAATTGATCCTCCCTCTATAATTGCAGGAGAGTTAAGGTTGATGATCCCCTCAGTCAATTTTAACTAAAATATATCTTTTATTGCTAATAAATATTATCTATATTCAATTGGTATGTGTGAAAGACCAGTTCTCATAAAAACTGAAGTTGTTGGAGACCATGAATGATTTTATACCCATGACACCGCCCTTACCTAAGTGTCTATTGGCTTTAAGTATGGATATTAGATAATGCTTGGACTCATTTTACCCTGTGATGAATTTCAATTTAATTATGAAAAATGGGTGTAGCAATGCTGGAACTCTTGAACTCTAAGTCAATCTGGCTGTGATGCTCTGTCAAAAGCACAAGCCATTAATTGGAGGTCTATAATTGATTTTAGATCTCAACAATATGATATATAATGCTTCGTTTTTATTTTTGATTAGAGATTTCAATGGGATTGGTTTGAGACTTCCTAATGTTATTTTGTACTAACTCTGTTTCAGATCAAAGGACTTTATAGAGGAGCAACATCATCATTTGTTGGGATGTCAGTTGAAGGATCACTTTTTTTTGGTATTTATTCCCAGACAAAACAGTACCTTCAGGTGTGCATGAAAATGACTTGAGTGAGGTTTATCTCAATTTGATGTTGCATCATTGATGCATGAATTCGTTATGAGATCTAATAAATAGTATTATAATCTTAGTGGTTTTGTGAGTGTATCAGTTTTGATGTATTTTGCATCTCTAACTGTGCTTTAGTTCATGCTCTCTTCTTTTGTTTCTCAACACTAATCTAGGGGGGAGTTCAAAGTGGAGAACCACGGCCTCAAGTGATTATACCATCTGCAGCTTTTAGTGGTGCCATCATCAGTTTTGTATTAGGTCCAACAGAGCTGATAAAGGTAAAGTGAACCTAAGGTTTGTATGCTGCAGTGTAATTGATAGTTTTATTGTCTCTAACAACCATGCCAATTTTACATTTGCATTTCTCCAGTGTAGGATGCAGATCCAAGGCACCGATTCTTTGGTTCCTAAGTCAAGTAGATACAGTAGTCCCCTTGATTGTGCCCTTAAAACTGTAAAAACTGAAGGGGTGAGGAAATTCTGCATCATTCTTCAACACCATGATTAATGGGTTATAGCTGATGCATTTCCTTTCAGGTGAAAGGAATTTTTCGTGGAGGTTGTACCACGTTGCTTAGAGAATCTATAGGGAATGCTGTCTTTTTCAGTGTATACGAATATGTGCGTTATAACATGCATTCACACATCAAGACTACTTCATCCAATTACAGCAACCTGATTGATATTGGCATTGGAATCGTTACTGGTGGCCTTGGTGGTGTGGCTGTAAGCATGTTGATAACTAAACATGCTCTTTTCTGCTGTTGTTGACAACTAAATATGTTACTGACCCCATTTAACTTTTTTGGTTGTCAGTTTTGGTTGACGGTTTTGCCTCTTGACGTGGCAAAGACTTTAATTCAGACAAACCCTGATAAAAACTGTCCAAGAAATCCTTTTCGGGTCTTGAGTTCAGTAAGCTCTCTTAAATCTTACTACATTGTTTCTTAAATTGCCAATCATTTATTCACAAAAATAAATATGCCAAATAAAGAGGCAAAAAGTGGTTTTATTTGTAGATCTACGAGAGGAATGGATTGAAGGGGTGCTATACAGGTTTGGGTCCTACTATAAGTCGAGCATTTCCAGCTAATGCTGCAACAATTGTGGCGTGGGAGCTAGCAATGAAAATGCTAGGCATTAAGCATGACTGAGGTCAGTTGCTTTCAATTGCAAGATGATGACTTTCTGTTATCTGACTATTATCTAGTAGTGATTGCTGTTGTATTATTTTCGTAGAGTCTATTTAATTGCGGATAATACAACAAAGCTCAGGTAAGCTTTCATGAGGCCAATATTACACACGCTAGATAAGAGTTGGAGAAGAGAATAATGCTTTTATTAGAATGCATTTTTCCTCGGAAGAGTTTCTGATTTCAATTTTTTGTCTTTTACTAGGACAGCATTCAGCATTGCATTTGAAGCTGCTTGTTTAATTCCTTAAGATTAGAGAGCTTGATTCACGAACTTGGAACAAGGGGCCTTGATTTTTAGCTGCCCTCTCCATGATTTCCCCCCCTCCAATTTTATGGATAGAACATTTTTATCTCTGGCATGAAATTATATTGTTTAATGGCCATTAAAGTTTATATTTTGAAAACATATGGCCAAGTCAGAGAAATCCACTTTTTTGGAGATTTTAACTGCCAAGCACTAACTGGCGCAACCTTTATGGCCTTTCTGAAACATGAGTTCAGTATAATTGAATTTTTAAAGTTTATATTAACAATATAATTTAGTTCTTCAAATTCTTACTTTTGTAATGGTTTTAATGTTTATTTTTATATAATAGTTAAAATATGCTTGATGTTTGATTTGTTTAAAGAAAAAATATAGAATTGCGAAAAGGGTCATGCTATTGAAAGTGGATTTTTTTTTTATTGAAAATCACGTTTGAATGCTTTGAAAATAACGAGAAAAGGTATTTTAATAATCTTTTACTCTTAATTTCATAATTAGTAAGATTGGTTAGCGTTTTATGAAATCGAACAAAAAGATGCCAATTTTTCATTTCTGATAAATATAGAGACGAGTTTGGAGGCGGGCCATCCCTGAGTCTATAGCCATCTGATACAGTAACTCGTTGAAATGTTGGCTGTCTTGTTCATTAACGTTTCATTTTTAATACATTTTTGCATTGATAGGTTACCAAGGTGCCCCTATCTTAGTTATGCTCCATGCTGAATATTTTAATAAGACAAGATAAACAAGGTTGTTTTTTTTTTTTTTTAATTTTATTTGACGAGTTTAAAAGTTTATTTGACTGAATTACATTCTGCTTAGTGAATGAGTTTAGATTAGTAGCTTTTAACGATTTTTGAAATTCAACTCTATGTAACGTTTGAGTGTATAGGCTCCTGACTTTTTTTTTCTTGATTCATTTTTATCCATACTTATTATATTTCTTTCTTCGTTTAATTTCACAAACTCTTACACATTTTTTAATTTTTCAAAGTAAAAATTTTTTGAATTATGATATAAATATATTTATATTACCTACCGTGTTCACTTGCTAAAAAATAATTTTTATTAAAAGCTCTTGATTAGATAACTGCTTAACCTCCATTCTAGCATAATTAATAAAAAGTGTTTTTTTTAACATAAAGTGCATTAGAGTTTGTGTAAACTCGGTTTGTCGGTGGAGCTACATAAACTGATATTAAATTTACTCTATTTAATAGATTTTTTTAAAATATTAAATTTTGTTAATTTAATTGTTAAATAAGTTGAGGCTATGGTTTAAGAATCAATTATTACTTGATTCAAATTTGTTTTAATAGGTATTAGCATTTTAAATAGTGTAAATGTCAACTATAAGATAATATAGCTACAAATGTTAGAATTATCTAAAGTTTTATATACCAACTTATTATTATATAATTTGATGGTTAAACGTATTAATTTTATATCTATAAAAAGTAATTAAATAAAATAAGAGTAAAAGAATATGTTCTTGAAGTAGGTAGATCCTTTTATTTTTTTTCCTCTCCCTCTCTCCCCTCTCCACCCCCTCTCTCTCTATACAAGGTCAATGAATACGTCATCATTCATATTTGTTTTAATATATACTTATACTTTTTAAAATATATGTAAATGTTGAGTATAAAATAACATATTTATGAATATTAGAATAATTTAAACTTTTATATGCAAAATCATTAAGATGATATTACATAATTTAATGGTTAAATTTATTAATTAATATTAATAAATAGTTATTAAATTAAATAAATGTTAAAGATTTGTTTTTGAAGTAGGTTATCAGCTTTCTATTCTCCTCCCTCAGAGAATACAGTAACAACCATTTCATTCGAGAATTTTTTTTTTCAACAAAATCTTTATCATTTGATCCATTAGTGTTCTATTAAATATAAATAGATTTGATAGATACTAATAATATTATCAAATTTTTTACCAAATTTTAGTTTAATAAATTAAGTTATTAACCTGCAGTTTCTAACTTTTAGCTTCTTACCAACTTGTAAATTTTCAATCAGTTTAGTGGCTAATTTTGTTTAACGCACTCAAAGCTGAGGCTGTTAGGATGAATTTAAAATTGAGTAGTGTAGAATCTTCCAATGTTAGGTCAAGTTGGATCTCCATTTCTATGAACCTTGAAAATAGATGTATCCCATTTGCTCAATTGGGAGATATTGAACAAATAATGAAAGGGAATGAGCTTGTGACGATTATTATTTAGGATGACAATCCTTTGCACTTGATATCAGGAAGTCTAAATTTTTATTTAATCCTTCGTACTTATTATGTTTATCATTAATTTTTTCTAAGGAGTGAAGTTTCTTGCAGACTCATAAGAAATTGTTCGAGGAGAAAGATTTTTGAAGTAAGGAAAGGACAAAATTTATATTTTAAATAAATATTTTTTAAAATAAAATATATAAATTGATATGTTAACATAAATTTAATATACCTTTTATTCTTTTTCATAAAAAAATCTCTCTCAAGCGTACTCTAAAACAAAAAAGAATTGTAAGAATTATCATTTTCACTGTCAATTAAGATAATATTTGTATGGATCTTATAAATATATTTATATTTTAATTTAAAATATTTTATATTTTAATTAGAAGAGTTTTAATTGAAACATTATTATGTTAGGAATGAGTTTAGTTTATCATTTAATGTAATTATATTTATCGAATATTTTTAACCTTAGTTTTTAATATAAATTAAAAAATATTTTTAAGGCTGAGATATTTATTTGTAGAGAAAGGTGCGAACAAGTCAAACTGATCATTTAAGACTTACGCTTTAGAACTATTTACACATAGTTGAGTCAAAATATTTTTATAAGATTTAGCTACAAAAACCAAAGTTTGAGTTTTTTTTTTTTTTTAGTTCTATGAGAATGGTTCATTTAAGTAAGTAAACGTAAATAATGATAAAAAATATATAATAATAATAATAATAATAATAATAATAATAATAATAATATTGTTTTGAATTTATATTAGAATAATTTAAGATTACAGACTCTTTAACCTATTTAAAAGTTTAAGTTTATTAATTTATATGTAAATTTAAAGTGACATATAGAAGAGTTTGTGATATAATCTTTATAAGTTTATTTTAATATTTTTTAATAACTTATTAAAACAAGCTCTTTTGATATATATATTTTTTTTATCACAAATCATGTGTAATAAAATTTTATGGAATGAAATTTAAATGCATCCTAAGTCCATTAATGTATATAAGGATATTTATTTATTTTTTACTTTATTTAAGAGGCTTGTTAGTATGACTTTGTTTATTTATAGTTATAAAAATTATTTTTTATAATTTTTAATAAAAAAATACATTTCAATAATGAAATATGTGCGATTCAGATTAATTTAAACACACATATTAATCATACTCAATAGTTCAAAATAGTTTCATTAGTAAACTAAACTTGAGAAGAACTAATCTATTATGTTTCTCAAATTTAAATTTCACCTATTTACTTAATATGATTTTTTTATTATATGACATGGTTTTTTTTTTAAAAAAATATCCAACCTATTCTAGGAGTTTATTTTACAACTTAATGCATGTTAGGTTTAAAATCACATGAATTTAAGTTTGATGAAACTATTTTTAAACTGTTGAATATAATCGACATGGTTGTTTAAATTAATTTGAATTACATATAATTTTTTATTAAAAATTGTGAAAATAGTTTTATAACTTTAAAATAAATGAAGTCACGCTAGCAAGGACTTTTAAATAAATAAATAAATTAATGGACTTAGTATACATTTAAATGTTTATTCAATAATTTTATTACATAGGATTTGTTATATAAATTTAATCATAAAACTTATTAAAATGAGTTTAAAACAGATTATTTTAATAAATTATACTTAAAAACATATTAAAATAAATTAAAATAAACTTATAAGAATTATAAACTATTACCATAACCTCTTCTAAATATCACTTCAAACTTATATATAGATTGATGAACTTAAACTTTTAAATCAATAAAAAAAGTCTATAATATCAAAATACTCAAACATAAATTCATTGCAATAATAAATATATAATTACTAATTTTTTTTTAATTATTATTTACGTTTACTTGAACGGGTTATTCTTTAGGCTTCACTCAAATTTTGATTTTTTTAACTAAATTCTATAGGAATACTTTTTACTCGACGATGTGTAAATAGTTTTAAATGAGTAGTTTAATTTGTTTATACTCTTGTTTATAAAGAAAAATATTTCACCTCTTAAAAATCTATTTTAATATATATTAAAAATTAAGGTAAAAATTATTCCATAAACATAATCACATTAAATAAAAAAATAGATCAATTTTCAAGACAAAAATGTTTGAGTTAAAAATATTTTATGCATCTTTTGTTTCATTTCTATCCTCCAAACACATAATTATATCTACAAGTCTCATATAAACATTTATTTATTTTTTCTACAATAGGGATGATGATTCTATGGAATTCTTTTTCTTAAAAGAATTACAAGAAATCTCAATTCAGAAAAAAATCTTTAGTTGAGGGTGGAAAATGGAAAAACAAAAACAAAAAAGATAGGGAAATTTTATATAAAAAAACTGAATTTGTTTATGGGAAATAAAAAATGCAAAGAAAATAAAGGATGACATAGACATGTAGTCTTTCATGACCTCTTTTTAGTAATTTTTGTTAGAGGACTAAAACTTGTGTTCTTCCTGGTTAGATTAGTGAAGGCTCAAAACATAAAATCAGTTTGATAAAAACTTCATATAGTCAGTCATCTTTCTAATTGGGTTAGATATGCCATTAAAGAACCATTTAGGTGCCTCAGGTCGTGCTTTTGACAACTTATGAAACATTCAGCAATTTGTGCCACGTTCAAATGTGCTATGTAGGGAGACTCACATCAACATGTATGAGCTAATTTCATATATTATTATTTGACTATAATCTATGATGACTTGACTGTTTAAGTATACTCATACTTTTTTTATTCAAGCTTGAGAGCCTTATAATTGTTTGAGCTCAAACATGATCAATCAAATCAACTTGTTATTTAACTTCCTATCTCTCTTCTTTCATTTCACTTCAATTTTTCATTCCTTTTCTTCATCTTCCCTCTATGTTTCAAATAAAGATTTAATTTCTCTAAAATAAAAGTGAAAATAAAACCTATATATCAGTAAATATCTGCATCTATCATATAATATAATATATTATTTAAAACCCAAAATTTTAAAAGTACATTTTTCCTAGTATTATAATTAATCACAGCCTTAAAGCCGAAGGTATAGGTTTGCAATAGGGCTGAGGGAGCAACCGCCTTCCATAATCTTTTGAATAATATATGCTAATTACTGCCACTTAGGAATGTAAATGAGTAAATCAAATGTTTTCAGCAATTTTTTGAGGAAAAATTATCACCACAAAGAAAGAGCTATATATATTAATAGTGTGGAATTGGATTAGTTTCCATTAATTAGTATAACTTTTACTAGATGAAACTAATATATATATATATATATATATATATATATATATATATATATATATATGTTTCCATCTCTAGAGAATTTTTAATGATTGGTTTTCGATCTAATATCTTATATGCAACCCTTGCATGATGAAATTAAATTAGAAAAAATTCTTTATACATAGGTAGTATTTAAATCAACAATTTTTTTGGCTGTTATTTTGCCCTAAAATTTCCTCTCCAATATATTCTATAAAATTTTTACTTTTAGAATTTTTTATGTTTAAGAATATTGGACATGAAATGAGAAGACAGAGTTTTGGATGAAGATAGGATTTAACAAAGGAAAGATAAACTAAAAATTAGAGTACTTTTAGAATTGTACAATAAATAACACTATATTATTTTTTTGATATTGAATTATAATCATTTTGTTTAATTTTTTTATAATTAAAATTTATTTTGGAAAAAATTAAAACAAATAAATATAAAATAATTAAAAATATATTTTATAAACTAAGTAAAATTTTTTAGAAAAATATTTTTCTTAATTATTTTTTATTAAAAATAATTTACATAATATTTTTATAAAAAGTATATATTTTAAATTTTTATAAAATAATTAAAAAAGCATAAAATATGAGTAAAATAGTAATAGAAAAATAATCATCATATCCTAATGTTTTTTAACTTATCACTTTCTTTAAGATAAAAATTTGAACTATAAAAATAAGATAAGATAATTCAAGGAGTGATACCAAACATGTCCTTAAAACTTACACCTATCTATTCGATACTAGAACTAAAGTCTCTCTCTTCTAGAACACACTTTCGATTACTTCGGGATGAATATAAGGATTTATTTGGAAGAATTTATGAATAATTTATCAAAAATTGTTTATAACTCAAGTTATTTTTAATTTATAAATTTATTGAAATAACTTGTGGTAATAATTATTTTTAGCTTCTCTTAATAAATTTTATTATTAAATTTAAAATATGAATCACCTTTTTAAAAGAACTTATTAAGTAAATATTTAAACAATAAATTATGCAAATGCACCCTAAATTCCTAAATCTACACATTTAGGATAGCTCTTTACAATTCATCTCTTGATCTGTAACATTAACATTATTAATTAGTACTCAGAACAAATGAAATGGATGGGTGCATGGGGTGACCGGCGGCGGTGAGGTACTGAGGTATGTATATCTACATGTTTTTGTTTGCTTTGCAGGAAGGATATGTACAGTGTTCTAACGTGAATGACAAGCAAACACACACACACACACACACAAAGTAGAAATGAATAAAATTAAGTGACATCTACCTAACAATGCACACTGATGTTTTGGTGTCATAATCAATCGTTTTTCTTATTTTCCTCCAATAATTACGCACTAGCTTTATTCATTAGACAAATTGTAATTTCTCATAGGAAAATTTGAAGGTTAGTTTTGTCAACAAAAATAAATGGATGAAGATGAAGTAGAAATGTAGTTTCTAGGCTGAGAAAGAGGATTAAAACACAATTTTTCTATTGTAATCTTTTCCTATATGTTGTGACAAACTCTGTCTCCTTCACAGTTTCTGTATTGGGGTTTCTTAGTTGTATCTATAAATACTCTTGTAACTCTCATTCAGATGTAGTGGAAATACATTTCTTTTAGCCTCTATAAATTTAAGCAGATGTTGACCAAAAAAAAAGTTTATAAGCAGTCCCTGGAATTTGATCTACACACGCATGGTAGTGAAACACCCAATACTATTTGTGAATATGAAAGAATATTACGTCTATCTATATATGTTACTTAACTATACCATAATCGTTGTCACAAATGATGTGAGAATCCAAGTCCATCACGTCGTTTATCCAAGTCAAGTATATTTTACAAACTACAGTTAAGGTTTTTAGGAAAAGAAAGTACATATTAAATTGCTTTTTATTATAATTAATGATTCTTTTAATTTTCATAATTACATATATATTTTTGTAATTTCATTAACTATAACAGGAGCTAACTTGAATTGCCCCATAATTTGGACAAAATCTATGATGCAATTAAGTTTTTGGGCATTTAGTAAAACTATTGGAAAAATATCCTTCCAAGATATTATTAGAGAAATTGTAATTCTAAAAAATTAAAGAAGTACGAGAAAGAAATAAATACTTGTAGAAATCATGTTCAAATATGTTTGGTTTAAAGGGGAAAAAGATATCAGACGAGACAAATTTTAATAGAAAGAGGAGAGTTCCAAATCCCCTCATCACTCTAAGAGGGAAGATAAAAACAAAGAAAGGTGAATCTAAAGCATGTTTTGATTACATTTTTAAAATTGTTTTTTGTTTTTAAAAATAAAATCTAGTACAAACAAGTTTCTCTTTTTCAGAAATAAATGAGGGAAGTAATTAAAATTCTTGTTCTCCGTTCTTTAGTCTTGACCTAAACAAGAGAATTAAAATCCCTCTTTCCCACTTCTTTTTATTTTTTAATCAATCAAGAGAGTTCGATTAAGATCTTTTCTCTCCAATTAAACATACACCAATTGTAGCTGAAAATCTTTTTGTAGTTGTAACTAACAGCAACAATCTTCCCATACATATTGACAGAAGATAGAGAGCAGCATCCTTAGAGATCAGAACAATAATTTGAATATAAAGATTTCAATGGGAAATTTTATTTCAATCATATGCTTGCCTCAATGTTCATTAATATCCATCTCATAGAAGAAATTAGTCTCCATGGTAATCAACTGCATTTTTGCGACGCCTCTCATTATGCCCCGCCAAACGCCTCCTACAACTCCTTTTTGAGTCATCAAATTCCGATACCTCATGAAATCTGAAAAACAAAATTTTGAAGAAAAGTTAGTTGACATGGAAAATTTTCTGGACGTCGAATTAATTTTGTTTCAGTGGAGAACAACATATATTTTTCAGTTGATTTGGTTTACACAAGGCCAGGTTCAAATCATCCCTTCAATCATCGTCCGAAGAGATAGTTTATGCAACTATAATATCAATGTACTGGAAAATTGAAAGAAGGACGTGACTTGTGTTGATGAGTGGGTACTGCCCTAAGTCATGTATCAATATTTTCAATTATATTGGATGGTACTGGTTGAAATTAACCAATAAATATTGTCAACCTATGTATCAAAACGGTGGTTCCAAATCTAAATCCTCAAAAAGTGAAAGGTGGATCTATATTAATTGGCGTATTGGTAAACGCCATTCAGAATAAATCTATCAGGTAATTGCGATATTGACTTGAGATCAACCCTGATCTTAGAGCAAATAGCTGGTCATATATGATTCATACCTTTGTGAAGAATGTTATAGCAATAGGATCGGCTTTGAGTCCCTCTATGGTTTCTAACTTTCTATAATCTTACAAAAAATGTGCAACATATAATCAGGGTAATTTCTAGAATCCCTATACCCAAGATTTCCATTTTTGGAGTTGCGAAACCTTTGTTCAAAATAAAGCAATATAAGTCACAATCAGTATAATAGTTTATTACACAACTAGTGGAAGTGAAAATTCAAAAGTAACAAAATATTTGGAATCAATAGAAGCAGAGGGTGAGCCTTGGCGCAAGACAAGAGATAAGCCTAAACACATGTCGCATTTCCACTCCAACCAATCACTCCCGATAATATATATGCACCATATTCAAATTGATGGGTTTTCTCCTTTCATCAAACCAGCTAGGGCTGCTAGACAAGAGAAAAAACAAATAAATATAAATAAAAAAGATTTATAATCAAACGTATTCCCTCAGCCAGTTACAGCAAAGATTAGTAACCTATGTGTAAACAACACTCAGACACACATAATAAGATTCCCAAGATTCTGTTGACTACAAATAGGTTAGGGTTTAACAACCTGCTACATTGTTGGCAAAACCTTTGTTGCAACCCTGCAATGTGTACGGAGGGAGCCTTGGCATGGTACTCACAAACCTTATGTCTTCTATGATACTGCTTAGCTTCACTGAGATCAGCATCACAGTTATTCACCTGACAAGAAGGTGGCATTGAGCTTCCACCTTTGGACCCTCTCTTACCACAGAGATCTCTCATTACTCTCTTATTTCTTCTACCATCTTCTCCGAAACCCATCTCGTTAATCTCTTCCTCTTCCTCTTCTTCCTCATCCTCCTCCTCTTTGTACCTCAAAGTCCTCTTTCCCTCAGACCTGCCTGTGTCCATAAGTTCAACAAAGATCCAGAAGCAGGCTATGGGGAAAGAAAGACTCAGAGAAGTTATTTAAGGAAAACAAGACTATAAAACTTAGATATAAATAGTAAAAATACGAGAAGGGTAAATAGAACGAGAGAATTAGTGGGTGAGGACCACACAGGCCTTGGTCTCCATTTTCTTTGAGGAATAGTAAAAGGTCGCAAACAAAAGAGTAGCTAAGTCTATGTTTTGATAGGTATGTACAGTTCAAGAAGACCTAGCGAAGACTACAAACAAGACAAACCCTTGTCCTTCACTCTTCTAAATCAACTTGGACTTTTCTTAGACAATAATTTTGTAAAAGATAATGATAGCTAAGTAAGTGGATCAACACTGATTCCTTTTGGTGAAAAAAAAACGACGTGGCCTCATGTTGTGGACTAGTGGTTCTCAGTTATCCAAGTCAGCCTAAAGTCTCCGTAATTTCCTTCCATGCCGGCTATAGGTAAGCAAAACCCAAAGAAAATTAAAGGTTTCGTTAATTTGAAGAAGTTGATTTATTTTTCTAATCTTGTTTCAAAGATCTAATTGTGATTATAAACTGAAAGGCATAAATTAAATTTAAAATAATATCAACATTTTAGAATAAAATAAACAACTAATAATAATAAAATTTTGTTAACACTCTTAAATTATAATTATTATTATTATTTATCTCTCAGCATGTGTATACACTTACAACAATGTACATAGAACATTTTCCCACAACTTTTTGAAGTTTCTTGGCGGCTCGTGCAGTCAATTTTCAGTTAAAAATTCTTAGATCTTTGATTAACCGGTGTTAAAAACAATATTACAAAAGTGACATGTCATAATAATGATAATTTCTCTTTCCCTTGTAGGGTCGTATCATGTTATTAAGAGTCTTTTCCTCAAAAGTATTTTTATTTCCCAACTAGTTATGAACTATGCTGTAAAGCCTATGGGTTAGACATTAAGCAAAATATAATTATATTAATGAATGTAATATAAAATAAATTTTAATTAAATAACAATTTCACAAAAATAAAAATAGCACACTAATGATTAAATAATACAACTATCATAAGTAAGTGTTTTTAAGTTTTTTTAAAACTTTGAAAAATAAGATTAAAAATGTTGCAATAAAATTTTTGGATCGTCTCAAAATAAATTTTTACAAAAGTAAGAATTAATAAGAAAATTAGATACATAATAAATACGAATTCAAATGTATCAATATGAAAAAAGAATATGCACATACATAATAAATAGGGAACAACAGAAGGGCGTGCAGGAAGTATCTCTCTTTTTCACTCTCTCTCTCTCTCTCTCTCTCTCTCTCTGTCTCTCTGTCGCAACATTAGAATGATGGTCCTTTTTCTTTTTGGGTCAATGATGATAGTCCTTTTCGTTGGGAAGAAGGTAGCGGTATGCGTTGGGGGGAATCGATTCCATCCTCATGTCCAGATCTTGCATTTGCATTATTGAAAGGAAAGAAGGAATGGTGATTGGTTAATTGATTTAACAAGCTTTGGCCTATTTGGCTACTCCACGTGTTACGTACAAATTTCTAACACATAATGGGATGGTCTTGGATATTCTAGTTTTTGTCCCTCACACTTAAAGTCTAATTTAATACAGGTAGGTAGTGTCAGTCATAATCACTTTCTTAGACATTGTAATTTTCTCAAAATATAAATATATATATACCATAATCGTTCATTTCTTTTGAATAATTATCTTTGTGAACTTTAAGAATTTTTATTGCTCAATTCCAATGTTTCTTAATTGTTAACAACTTCCACCTTCGTACACCAAAATCGCCTGCTAGTACACACTTCAGTTACCATGCTTTTAACTTCGGCTATGATTTGGAACACATTAAAATCTTTATACTCTCATTAAATATATGTAAATGTGTTTTACTACAAATTTATTTTTTTAAATCACGTCTATTTAAATTTATTTTTCAACAAAACTAAATTATTTTTAATTCAATTTTACAAATTTTCATCCAAACACGCACTTGCAATATATGCTATTCTGCCAGGACCACTTTTATTCACTACCCATTTTAATATATTGGTCCCCAGTTGTACGAGGGAAACTATGAGCAGGAAGTTGAACTTTGTATTGAGAGGGGTTCTCAATATACAAACCCAATGTAGCATAAACTTATAACTGAATTTTCAACGTGCTTAACTGCTTATATTGGAGTTTATTACCCTTTTTTAATAATTTTTCAATTTGTCCCGCTAACAGCTTCTCCATCCCCATTTTCACTTATAAAAAATTGATAATATATTCTCTATTAATTTTGTTAATACTTTATAATAATTATAAAACAGAACGCACATAGTTTAATATTTAAAAAAACAAAAAAATCAGTATATTGATAAAAAAAAATTGTTAGAAGATTAGGTTATTTGTTTTGAAGATAATTAACTCTCTTATAAGGATTCAAATTTCCTCTGATTGTAACAGAAATTGAACATTCAGTTTTATTTTTACTTAAACAAAAATAAACTCATTTAAATAAAACTGTAAAAAATAACAAAAAAAATTATGTAAAATTAAATAAATTATTTTAATTTAAATAAATTTTGTACATTTAAGAAGATGGAGGCTAAATGTGAGGGAAAGATATGATTGAGAATGGATGAAGATAAAAAGAATAAGTAGTATAGGAATGATAGTAGAGAAAAAGGAGGATAAAGAGTTGGGTTGAAGAAAAAGAAAGAAATACGTATAGGTTAAGATGAGAGTGAGAAGAAAAAGAAAGGAATTAAGTATAGAGTAAAAGAAAAAGTTAAATATGAAAGTTAAAAATAATTAAATATAAAGACTGATGAAGAAATATTAAGCATAAAAAAAATAAAAAAAATAAAAAAAAAATTATTTAAATTAATTTTATATAAAAATAATAATAATTTTTTATATTTATATTTAAGTGAGTCTATTTTTATTTAAATAAAAATAGAACTGAATGTATAGTCCTCTCCCCAAGATGAGAGAATAAGGATCTTTTTCAAACTTTTGCTAGACAAGACTGAAAGCAACCAATGTAGCTAGTAATGTTCTTTCCCTGTACACTGTTTTAAAAATTGCCGAGGTTTATTCGAATAATGTATACTAACCTTTTCTAAAGTTTATCCTGGATAACCACATAAAATACCCCCTTTTTAACCCTAGGATAATACAAGTGCATTAAATTTGTTATGTTTCTTGTTCAGATTCTTATTAATGGGTGTCCCATAAAAATATAAAGAGATGTATCTAAGTATTTCTATTACAAGTATTTATTATGTATGTATAGTTCTATTTTTGTTTATTATTAAATTACGTCTACAACAAGTATTTATTTTGTTTGTATACGTTATCTTTATTTCTGTTTCAACACGTGTTAGTTGAGAGCTTTTTGTTTTTTTTTTCTCTTTAATTTAGAAAACCTCCATCACAAACTGGGGGTAACAATTAAATTAGTTATCCACTTACCATTATTTTTAAAATCGAATTAGGTATTAAACCAATGAAGGTTCGCAACCATTATATCGAAATCGAGTTAGATCTGAATTAAATTAGATAGAAAATTAAAAATATTACATGAATATATATTTATTTTAAAATTATTATAAAATAAAAAAATAAAATAATACCTTTTTCCACTGATTCTTACTATTTTTTAATTTTTGATAATTTTGACTATTCGGGACTAATATTTTCTCCAACTTGACCAAACTTAACCAAAATCTAATGAAATCAGCTGATTTGATCTCATTTTAATAATTATTTCACTAATTATTCAATCTATTTATGTATAAATTTATTCAACCAGTCTAAATATAAAATAAAATTATTAAATAATTATTAATTGTTGCATGGATAATAAATTGTTCTAATATATTTTATAATCCATTAAATCAAGTAATTAAAAGTTTATTAATTAAGTATAGATCTTTCAGTATAAATCATAAACTTCACGGTGTTTCAATATAAAAACGTATTGAAATCTTCAACCTTTTTTTCTATAAAAAATAACACTAATTAAATGAAGTAATTTGATATCTATTTATAAAAAAATTAATAAAAAAATTAGATTTTTTTATTAAACGAATTGTTAGATATATTAAAATTTGTAATATATCTTATTAATAATAAATGAATTAATAATTTATTATTTATTCATTCATTATAATTTAATATAAAATTTACAGTAGCCAATTTATTCTTTGGACAACCTAATTAAAAATACCTCAGAAATCGAGATCGAACCTTCAAAATTCATTGCCATTATACAAAGGGGCTTATGTATAAGGTTGCGCCCTAACTGTCACATACTAGCATGCCAAATGGTGCACCGCACTGGGAGAGAGGGGACAGAGAATAACTACTGTTTAATTTTTCTATTTTATTTTTTTTATTATCTTTAAATTATTAAAGAAAAAACGTATGTTATTTTTTTTTCTTTTTCAATAATAATCATCTAAATAGTTTCGAGCAAAAATAACGTGTTAAAATATACTTTATTAAATAAAATTATTTTTCATAAATATATATCTTCTTTAACTGTCACAAACACAGAAATTAAATATTTAATTTTATTTTTGTCATTTTTTATTTTTATTTAAATAATTTTTTCATTTAAACAAGAATAAAACTAAATATCTAATTTACGGTAGAAAAAAATTCAGATCCATTTTTTTATATATATAGCTGCCTTTTATACTTGCTTCAAATATTTTGTTTTCAATTTGAATAATTTATTTATTTTAATTTTATTAATTATAATATTTTTTTAACTCTTGTCCTCTAAGGTTTAGTGCAGGTTTAGAAAAATATTAATTTTATATATTCTTAAATTTTCTATAAAATTAGAAGTTTATTTTGTATAAATTAATAATTAAATCCAAACAAGTAATCTTAAGGTTCATGCATGGGACAGAATAGGTTCTACTTCGTCATGTGGGTTTTCCTTCTACGGGCAAACATTATGCGGTCCAGACTTACATAGATTTAAATAAGTTTTTTTATTTGGTATTTTTATAAAATTTTTAAATTACTCCTTTTAACAGATAGATTATTAATTTTAAATTTAACTCTTCAATATATACATCTAATTATCTTGAAATTTTTCAGACACATTTTTAATTTAAAATATTTT